GGGCAGGTGCCAAGGGGCTGATCAGATTCCAGAACAAGAAGGGAGATACCCCAGGCCTAAACCACAGCCACCAAGCCAGCCACAGTCTGCAGTCCCTGGGCCGTGCCTGCCTGGACGGTCAGACAGCTGCTCCGGAGCCAGCCAGCCTGCACTCAGCTTGTGAGTGTCAGGGAGCACACTCAGAATGCCCCCTGGAGTCGGGGCCTGGCAGAGGCAGGAAACCAGGCCTCCATCATGACTGCAATCAGAACTTAAGTAGAAACAGAAGGACACACCTAGCCAGCCCTGGGCCGGTGCCTACTTTTCCTTGTTATTCTGCACTTGATCTTAGCCAAAAGGCTGAGGAGCGATCCTTGTTATTCTCCTTGTTATTCTGAAGCACCAAGATTTTTGAGCTAACACAGGAGATGGAATAGGAACGTAAACCCGTCATCAGGGGGAAATGTAAATTACCCTCCTGTCAGTTTAAAATTACCCTGATCTATGTATATTGAAGTCATGGGACTGGCATTGTGGCACAGGTTAAGCTGCTGCCTGCAATACCTGCATTCCATGAGTGCCAGTTCAAGTCCCAGCTGCTCCACTTCCGATCCAGCTCCCTGCTAATGTGCCCAGGAGAGCAGCAGAAGATGGCCCAAGTGCTTAGCCCCTGCATTCACATGGGAGATGTGGATGGAGTTCCAGACTCCTAGCTTCAGTCTGGCTCAGCCCAGGCACTGGTGTGGGACGGTGATCCCATCTGCCATTATCCACCCACACTGGTTCTGATGCTCTTTTGTCATGCCTGCTTCCTGACATAAGCCCCATTCAGGTTCAACTCTTCTACTCCCATGCCACTCCCTGGTGCCCAGGGTCCTACCCTGCTCCTCTTGCACTATGCTAGGACACAAGTGTTCCGTGGAGCTAGAGAAGACCCTGTGATGGCCATGACAGGCTGGCCAGGGCACGCTTACAACCAAGACACGTGACCCAGCCATTTCTTCTCTGTGGCCTTGCCACTTCTCTGGATTTCCATAATGAAATGAGTCCAGTGGCCCCAGTGAATTGAGCTGTGCTAGACTCACTAATGGAACACAGTGATTATAGCTAGGAAGAAAACATCAGATACAACTATATCAGTTATCTACTGCTCCATAACAAATTACTCCAAAACCTAATGGCTTAAAACAGCAAAAATGTATTCTTGCAGAGTTTCTGCAAGTCAGAAATGTAAGGAGTGGCTTATCTTGGGGTCCTGGCTCAGATCCTCTCTCAAGGTTGCAGTCAAGATGTCAGCATGGGTGCATGTGTTCGGCGCAGGAGCTCAGATGCAGCTTGGGACACCTGCTTCCTACATCCGAGTGCCTGGGTTAAGTCCTGGCTCTGCTTCTGACTCCAGCTTCTTGCTAATACTTCCCCTGGGAGGCAGTAAGTGATGGATCTCTGCTACCCACGTGGAAGATCTGGATTGAGTTCCCAACTCCTGGCTTCAGCCTGGCCCAGCCCTGGATGCTGCAGGCATTTGAGGAATAAACCAGCTGATGGGAGTTATCTCTCTCTTCCTCTCTCTCTCTCTCTCTGACTTTCAAATACATAGAAATTTTTATTTTCAAATATTAAAAAAAATAAATTTTTCATTAAAGAGCAAAAAACTGTCAGCTGGGACACAGTCATCAGAAGCCTTGACTTGGGCTGAGCGACTTGCTTCCAAGATGGCTCCCTCACATACCTGGGAAACTAGTGCTGGTACTGGAACAGGGCCTTGGTTCCCCACCACAGGGATGTCTTCTCAGGGCTGCTTGAGTGTCCTCATGACATGGCGGCTCTCGCCCCACAGAGTGAGACCCCAGGGAAAGGTAGGGCAGACACATGAGGCCACTCTCAGGAGCCACCCACCATCCCTTCTGCCATACCCTCTCATCTTTAGAAAGAAATCACTAAGGCAAACTCACACTTAAGCATAGGGGAATTAGGCTCCACCTTTTGGAAGGAAGAACATGACCAAATCTGATGTCATATTTTAGAACCACCACGATAAATAACAGGAAAAATTCCAGTCAGTTTGGAAAATAAAGAGGAGGTACTGACTCACCTAACTGGAATCCAGAGATAGGATAGATTCCAGCATGCTGATTGACTCAACCGGGGACCCAATGTCTTTCTGAGCCTTTACTCTGTTACCAAGGAGATCATTTTTAAACTGGTTTTCCTCAGACACACAGAATGGCTGCCAACAGCATTGATGGCTGTGTGCTTCCTGGTTCATATCTAGCCAGAGAAAGGTGGCTGAACTCCTTCAGTCATACAGTGAAAGTCACCTACCTGGTCTACGTGAGCCAATCACCACAGCAAAGGAAGGAGACTGCCTCACTCGCTTACACCTGGATCTCGGGATTGGTTATCCCCTCATAATTCACAAAGTTTACACAATGAGCAAGGGATATGCCATGTTCACCACAGGAGGGTCAGGCAAGGTGTGAGCTGGCAAGCAAAGCGCTGGTTCCAAGCGAGCTAATGCGTACAACTTGGGCTCAACCACCTACAGCTGCAGAGAAACTGCACCTCCCCAGTCTCACTAAGCCTCCTCACCTGCTGCACTGAAGACACAGCCCACAGAGTGAGCAGGGGTACAGCTGGGCCAGCAAGCTTCTCACCAGGGAGGCAAACTGTTCACAAGTGTGGACATAGCAGTTCCCATGGGTTCTTTTTGTTTTTATTTTTTTAGATTATTTATTTGTAAGGCAGAGTTAGAGAGAGAGAGAGAGAGAGAGAGGGAGGGAGGGAGGGTGGGAGGGAGAGCAGGATCTTCCATCCACTGGTTCATTCCCCAAATGGATTGAGTCAGGCTGAAGCCAGGAGTCAGGAGCTTCTTCCAGGTCTCCCACATGGGTGCAGCGGCCCAAGGACTTGGGCCATCCTCCACTGCTTTCCCAGGCATATCAGCAGGGAATTGGATCGAAAGTGGAGCAGCCAGGACTAGAACTGGCACCTATGTGTGATGCTGGCACTGCAGCCTGGGGCTTTAACCCACTGAGCCACAGTGCTGGCCCCCACCTTGGGTTCTATTGTTTGAGCCAACTGAGAGCCCAAGAGCTCAGACTCAAGGGAATACAACTTAGCTAGGGAGGGGGATGAAATAAAAGAAAGCAGAAGAGGAGGATGGCGACCAGCACAGGCCACTGCCACCAACCCTCTACCCCAGGTCCCATACGCAGCCTCCCTCTCCGACTGAATCATGGTCATGGCATCTCCCCTGCCGGGTGAGTAGGATGGGGTGTCCAACTCACAACAGCCCCAAACCTTGGCACACACAGAGTAGAGGCTCCCCATGTTTTTTCTTGGGTTAGTTCCCCAGGCTACCATAGTAAAGCACCACAAACTGAGCGGCTGAAAACAACAAGGATTTATTAGCACACAGTTCTGGAGGCAAGAAGTTCAAACTAAGGTATTGCCAGTGTCTCGGGGAGCCTGGGTGGGGGGAGCCTCTCCTTGCCTCTTCTTAGCTTCTGGTGGGGTCAGCCATCCTTGGCAATATTTGGCTAGTGTCCCCCATCGCTCCAGCCTCTGCCTCTCACCACCTGGTCTCCCTCTGCGTGTCTCTGTCTTCCCATGGTGTGCCCCTTTTCTTATAAGCACACCAGTCATGTTGGATTAGGACTACCCTATGAGCTCATCTTAACTGGATTATGTCTGCAAAGGCACTGGTTTCAAATACTAGCGGTTTATAAGACCAAGTGGTTCAACATACAATGGTAGTTCAGAATGCTCATGAAAAAAAAAACGGAATTAGAAAATAAGTCTGTTCTGGTACCAAAAAAATATTTACATCCATGAATACAAGAGGTCTTTGGAAAGTTCAAGTTCATGAAAAAATATATATTCTAAAAAAAAAACTATGCATGGATTTCAGATTTTTTAGCACAAAATAAACATCTTTTGCTTCCACTTTTCCTCAAGTTGTTTTGAAGTACCTTCTTACTGGAGGGGACACAATTCCCACAGCAGGTCCCTTTCATTAGTTGCTCCCCCATGCTTGTAGCAATAGCTGATAGCACCCACGGTCCCTTCCCTTAAAGGACCATGTTATTTCCGGGTCTAGTCCCCTCTCCCCCGCCGTGTCCAATGGGAAAGCCAGGGACTTATCCTGTCTGCCATCCTTCATAATTGTAGCACGCTGGCCTACCAGGGCTGCAGGGTTTTCAACTGCTCCATTAGATCGGCCTCTTTGTGTACTGAACGCTGCCGCCGCTGCCAAGTATTCTCCTGGACTGAGTCAGGGGGTGCTGAAGCCACAGGTAGGTGTTGGCAACACAAACCTTGCCTCCCTCTGCTCTTGGGGCCTTAGTTCCCCAATCTGTAAAATCTAGAGCAACCCTTTGTAACTGACAGTGACTTCCAATGGGCCCATCTGGCTCAAATCAGAGGCACAGCCAAACTTCCAGTTAATCTGTGGCCATCCAGTGAGTGTCCCTGTGTGATTCTAATACGCAGACTCCACACTGAGAGCGTAAAGGCTGCTGCTCCTCCCTCCCAGGGAGCCTGTGCTCTGTACTCAGACACGTCAGTAAAATGACGCAGCCTTACCTATGTCTACACCCCGGACACCATCCTAGGCTCTAGCCCCCACCACCATTGCTAGAAGCCAGGTGGCCACATGGCCCAACCACCAGTGTCAGCCCCACCCCCATCCTAATGGGATTTGCTGCTCCTACTTCCATGCCCGCCACCCAGCAAAGTTTTAAGAGGACCTATTCCTGAACACATGGCTCTCTTTCTCTGTGTCTCTGTCTCTTTCTCAATCTCTCTCTCTGTCTCTTTTTTAAGATTTTTTTTTAAGATTTTTTTTCTCTCTATCTCTCTCTCTCTCTCTTGATCTCTGTCTTATGCTCTCCTTCTCTCTCTTTTCCTTCTTTGCCCCTTCCCTCTGGTCTGTCAGGTTTCCCCCAATAAAACCTCTCCCTTACTCCGGTGTTTGGTGTGTTTTGTGGCGGCCTTACAATACAGAATGCCTAGACACTCACCCAGAGCCTTCCTTCACACACACACGAGAAATCGTGGAGGAACGTGAGATGGAGCAGGGTTAAATGGCCAAATTACAGGAGAGCAAGGCTAGGGCACCCTGCAGAGTCCTTCAGCAGCCAGCATTCTCTTGGCTTCAGCTTGGAAACAGCGCAAAAGCTGAAAAGCTTTTCCTACAGGAGGAAAGAGAAGAACCTGTGACCCAGCAGAACAGAGACTGGGACAACAAGCAGCTACGGAGGCCTACAAGGGTCAACAGGGTTGTCCAAGGACCATACCCAAAGGCCCTGAGATCCTCTCAGGCAGCCACTGCAAATCCCGCGCCCGGCAAGCAGCCCGTTCAGGAAGGCCCTGCTGAGGGCTGGGGACCCAACTCTTGGGAAGGAGCCCCAGGCAGACAAGGCAGAGAATGGGAATGCAACCCTGGGGCTGATTCACACCAAGGCAGGGCTCCCAGCCAGCCTGGAACTCCACACCCAGCAGAAGAATCTGGTGGGGTAAATGTAATTGAATGACAGGCAGAGGTCAGGGTCTGGGGTGGGGGAGGAGCAGAGGAAGGGAAGAAGGAGGAGGAAGGGGAGGTGCAAGAGGAGGAAGAAGAGGAACAGGAGGCACAGGATGGGAACGATGGGAGGAGGCAGGAGAGCAGGGACCCCATGACAAAGGACCAGCCGTGTGGCAGAGAAGGGGAGCCTTCAACTTGGTGGATACTGGAGACGCAGGGCTCCCCAGCATGTGAACTGACAGGCCCCTGACAAGCAATTCCAGACCTATCCATGGTGGACCAAGGCCGTAGTCATCCCCTTGCCCCTGGGTCAGGTGGACTGAGTCCAGGCAGGCTGGAGGATGGCGACAGACGCTGGGCTATGCATGTGTGAGCCTGTCCCTCAGGCTCCTCCAAAGGGAACAAGGCAGTGCAGTAAGAACAAGGTCTGGACTCACAACGGCTGGGCCTGAATCCCAGCCCCGCCCTTCACCAGCTCCGTAACTGGGCAAATGACGCAGCCCATCGAAGCCACCATCTCTTCATCTGTGAAACACAGAAAATAACAGCACCTGCTTCCCAGGGTTATGGTGAGGAGTGCGAGAACACACATAAGCAGTAGGAGGGCTTAGCACATGACTGGCACACAATAAGCACCACATACTCAGCTGTGTATGTGCACATGTACACGTGTGTGTGCACGTGAGCACACCGCTCTCATGTAAAACCCAGCAGGGCTTCTGAGTGAAGCCAGTATCATCCGCAGGACAGAAGCCAGAGTCAGCCAGCGAGCCCACCAAGCTGGCAGTTAAATTCCAGGGAGGGGAAAAATCCACATAGCCAACACACCTGGAGCCCTCCAGGGCACTGCTTCCACTAGAAGTGGACACTGGAATGGCCAGCCTATAGGGGGCTGCCGTCTGACTGTCATTGGTAGTCTCGGGAAAAGTCCCAAGTGGAGTAAAGGTACCCTCCTGTGGCCTCGCTTGCTGGTCTCCCAGTACTTAGACAGGTCTCCTGGTGTCCGCCCCTCCTCCTCAGTGGGAGACCGGGGCAGGGGCCAGGCCAGGCAGGGCCACTTCTGCTTGTCCCCGGGGGGAACACAGAAGGAGAGCTTCCCCCTGCAGAGCCCCACTGCCCAGAGGCCTGTCATGGCCTTTTCCTGGGTTGAGGGAGGTAGTGTTTGTTGGCAGAAAGCCAACTGTCTTAAGCATTTTGTTAAATCCAGTGTGCTTCAACCAGCTCCTGCTGGACAGTTTTTCTGGGTTAACACAGGGGCCAGAGGGCAGAGGGAGGGAAGATAATAGCCCCTAGTGCCTCGGACGCAAAGCCACCTGGACACCTTGCCTTTGCCAGGAACCCATTCCAGCTCTCCCAGAGGCTCAGCTCTCATTCCCATCGATGGGCCTGGATCCGTGGATTTCAGCCTCTGCTGCATCACAGTCACTTGGGGAATTTGGGCAAAACAAGACACCTGGACTCCAGGCCAGACTAACGGGCTCAGAGCCACTGGGGAATGGCACTCAGAGGCTGTGTGGCTTTCAAAAGCTCTGGGCAGGGGGTTCTGAGCAGAAACCCTCGGTCCGTGGGTTTGCTGGGCCTTTCTGAAGGAAAGGGGCTGCTGTGGGAAACTGTCCCCCAACCCCACCGTGCACGCACACACACACACACACACACAAGCACGGAGAGGAGAAGGCTGGGACAACTGAGTCATGCGCAGAGGCACCTGCTCCATTCCCCCAGCTGAGCTTGAGTCGTGAGAGCAACCACCACCCACTGCAGGGGTCTCTACTGTTGACCTCTCCAGAGACAGGAGGGCCCCCGGCCTTCCCAGCTGCCTGTGAAGCAGTTATTATGCCCATATGTAGATGAGGAACCTGAGCCTGCAGTAGGCAGAATAACGGCTCCTCCAAAGATCCTACATTCTAAACCACACAATCAACTGGTTCTGAAAATTGAGATAAATTCTTCAAAAAGCATTTTCTGTGAAGAGCCTTTGATCCAGTTCCTCCACATCTGGGAATCGATCCCAAGGAAAAGCTTATAAACACAAAAATGAGAAAAATACTTATCACAAGGGCTGGTATGTGGTACAGCATATTAACCTGCCATCTGCAATGCCAGAATCTCATCTGGGCACTGGTTCAAGTCCCAGCTGCTCCACTTCTGATTCAGCTTTCTGCTAATGCACCTGGGAAAGCAGTGGAAGATGGCCCAGTGCTTGGGCCCATTACCCATGTGGGAGACCTGGATGAAGCTCCTGGCTCCTGGCTTTAGCCTGGCCCAACCCTGGCCACTGCAGCCATTTGGAGAGTGAACCTGTTCATGGAAGATCTCTATCTCTTTCTCTCTCTCTCTCTGATTCTCCCTCTCTGTAACTCTGCCTTTCAAATAAATAAAGTTTTACTATATTTATCACAGAATTATTTATATTAAGAAACTAAAACAACTTAAATTTCCAAAAAAATAGGAACGCTTAAGTAAAATATGGTCTATCCACTCAACAGAATTCTGTGTAGTGAATAAAGATGCTTTCTTAGATTACACATTAACATGGGATATAGCTATGATATACTGTTTGGTAAAAACAGAGTTTCAAATTGTGTATACAATATGGCAACTGTGTAAAAACTATTCACGTTTTTGCAGTAGGGGAAAATGTTCATTATACTTTTCTGTCAGAAGCAGAGCCATGAGTTCTCTTTTCTGTAGTCCTGTTTATCTGAGCTACATTGTGTCCCTGCTTTATGGATGAGTATTATGGCAGATTCCACCCCCCTTCGAAGACGTCCATGTCCACATTCCCAGGACCTATGAATATGGTAGCTTATGTGGAGGAAGGGAATTTGTAGATGTGATCAAGTGAAGGGTCTTGCAGGAGCAGAGAATCCTGGATTACCCAGAGGACCCACGCAGTTCCAAGGATCTGTGTAAGAGACAGGCAGTGTGAGGCAGGGATGACAGGCAGCAGAGCATAGGACCCACTTCAGACGTCTGCTCCAGAACTCTAAGAAACCAGTGTGGTTTTAGGCCATGGAGTGGGTGATAACTGGTTACAGCAGCCATAGAAACCTCAGACACCACCCCACAGTGGGGAAGCCAAGCTCTTGGAGGGGCTGGAACCTGGTATTGTTCCCCTCCCACTCTAACAGCACAGAGGCACCCGCAGCCCAGCGTTCCCTGTGAGCAGAAGGGACAGCTCCACTGTGTGCAAGCACCCCTGCGGGGCCGTGGGCTGGTGACGCCTGCACCAGTCCCAGCGGCCGACTCTCCTTCCTGGGGATGGTCCAGTGGCATAGGAGAAGAGCACAGGGACCACCCTGAATACAAGAGCATTTTACTTGGGGCGACTCTGCTGCTCAGCCAACACATTTTTTTAAATAGAAATCGCTCTCCATAGCAACAAGGTCAAAATTCTAAAACAGGTGAAAGCTGACGATAAATATCCAAAAACGGAAATGTGAGTTCTACCATTTTTAAAACTCTTTGCAATTGCATTAAGAGCTGAATCTTTTTTATTAAGAGAAACATTAGTCATGAGAATGTGGCATCTTAGCACTCCTATCCTTAATTGAGGGCCTACTGCTTGGTTTTATTTATATATTGGGAAGTGCTACTGTATTTCAAAAAGCTATAACACACCGATCTGCAAATGCAGTGCCCTTCCTTCAGACAGTCCTGGAGTCCCCTCCAGGGCGAACTTTCAACCTCAAAACTGCCCTCTGGGGCCCTCAGAAGCAAATCAATTGTCATCCTCTGGCCTGAGAAACATTCATCTGTCCACAGGCTCCCTGTGCCAGCAGCCAGAGCTGGCTCTAAGGTTCAAGGCTCTGCTTCAATGAGCCCAGGCTGCTCCATTCACAGAGAGGGGAGGTTTAGACTGAGCTGGGGCGACACCATGTGGCCAGAACTGTGACACGTCACGCCAGGGGCTTCTGTTCTTTTTGTAAAGACTATGAAATAATGACATTAAGGATGTTTTAAAGAATCAAGAAAAGAGCTAAAGTTCGCCCGTAACCACGCTAACATCACTATTTTATGTCTGTCCTTTCTCTTCAGTATTTTCTGACAACGACAGCCACAGCGCCCATTCCACGGGGCGCCCTTCTTTTCTATGAAATCTGGCCGCCAGTGGTCTCTGTGCTCATCCACAAGCTATAATCCTTCTCTTCCGTGATAATCAACAGCAGACCCTTGACACATGCCAGTGCAGTGATGTGGAAAGAAAGGGCACTAAATTGTTGGCAGGTGTGGTGGTTGAGAGCTCCATTTCTAAAGGGACAGGCAAGGGTTCAAAACTCAGTTCTTTTAGGACTGTGCCTTGGAGCTTAAAATCAGCCTACTGTGCCAAAGCCCAGCACCTGGTGCAGCCCAGAGGCCTCGACCAGCCAGCTGCCACGCACAGCCTGAGCCTGCAGACTGCTCAGCATCAGGCAGGCACCTGCATTCCTGTGTCAGTGCCAGACTCACGTGGGCCTGGAGAGCATCCCTAGGACCTTGTGGGGTCAGGGACTGCAGGATTGCTGATGTGACCAGCCTGGGACCAATCTGGGTGACTGGAGCTGCCTTTATTACTCTCCTCCAATCTTGAGCCGACAACAAGCGACCAAGGGACTGGGTCTTGGAAATCAGTGCTGGGCTAGTGAAGCCCAATGCTGGGCAGATCCTTATGGGATCCACCCATAGCCCAGCACCTGTGGACAGTTCTCTGGACTTGCCTCCATATCAGGGGGAGGCCTGCACCCTAGTGAGACAGACTTGTTTTGGCATGTTTACCACAAGCCCCTTGCTGGCGGTGTGCACCCCCAGGTGGTACAAGGCCTGGTGACAGTGACAGCCAGTTGTGACCCTCCTAGGGCCTGACTGAGGAGCTGCCTCGTTCACCCCTCCTGTAACCTTGGACAGACAGCAGGAAATCAAAAGACCATTTTGGAACTCAGTGACAGTGAAAATAATGCAGCATTGAGCAGATTCTAATGGTCCCTGTCCCCGGGCCGGTGCCTATAGGTGCCTCCGGACCTGCTTTGGTGCTCAGTGGAGTTTTGTGGGCCTGGTTGAGCAGTCTGATTCCCCAGCCAGCATCACCAGTGGCTGACAGGTGCAGCATTGGGAAGAGAGCCCACCTCCGCAGAACAGACTGCTTAGAATTTCTAGAAACAGTCAAAAATGAAGCCAGATTACTAAAACTCACCCTTCATGCACAGAGGATGTTGTACTCCAACAAGCAGTAGGAACTTCCAAGGAGCCATGATCTCACCTAAAGAGCAAAATACGGTGTCAGAAACCAACCATCCAGGAATTCAGGTTTCCAAATGTTCACACGAAGATTTCAAAATACTGTTTTAAGGAACTCAACAAAATTCAAGAGAACACAGAAAAACGGCTCAATATTCCAATAGAGAGAGTTGACAGAGATGGAAGTAATTAAGCAAAATGAAGCAGAAATCCTTCATCTGAAAAGTACATTAAATAAAATTTAAAATAAATTTAAAAATTTTTAATTTTAAATGCAATAGCATCAATAGCAAAACAGATCAAACAGAAAGACTCAGTGAACTCAAAGACAGGTTATTTAAAATATGCAGTTCAAGAGAAAAAAGAATAAAGAACCAACAGGAATGAATAAAGTTTATGTAAAATATGGGATAACATGAAAAAAAAAATTCAAGTTGTTGGAATTCAAGAGGGACTTGAGCATGCCAAAGAAGTAGAAGGCACTTTCAAGGAGACAATCAAACTTTCCAAACCCAGAAAAAGATACAACTTAGGCCGGCGCCACAGCTCACTAGGTTAATCCTCCACCTGTGGCGCTGGCACCCCAGGTTCTAGTCCCGGTCAAGGCGCCAGATTCTGTCCCGGTTGCTCCTCTTCCAGTCCAGCTCTCTGCTGTGGCCTGGGAAGGCAGTGGAGGATGGTCCAGGTCCTTGGGCCCTGCACCTGCTTGGGAGACCAGGAGAAGCACCTGGCTCCTGGCTTCGGATCAGCGCGGTGCGCCGGCCACAGTGGCCATTGGGGGTGAACCAACGGCAAAGGAAGACCTTTCTCTCTGTCTCTCTCTCTCACTGTCCGCTCTGCCTGTCAAAAAATAAAATAAAATAAAATGATACAACTATCCAAGGAAGGAATGTTAAAGGTCACCAATCAGATTTGATCCCAATCAAGTCTTTCTTTGGGGCCAATATTACCTTGATACCAAAGCAAGACAAGGATACAACAAAAAGAAACCAGGCTGCAGACCAATATCCTAGATGAATATAGATGCAAAAATCATCAACAAAATACTAGTAGATTGAATCCAACAGCATGTTAAAAAGAACATTTACCATGATCAAGTGGGATTCATTCCAGGAATGCAAGGATTTTGACAAAAATCAAATCAGAAAAAACAGCTGATAAAACTCTACATTGCTTCATGATAAAAACTGTGACCAAATTATGGATAGAAGGAACATACTTCAACATAATAAAAGCCAGATATAACAAGCCAACAGCTAGCATCACACTCAGTGGGGAAAAGCTTTTTCTCTAGGGTCCGAAACAAAACAACACAGTATTGGAGCTCCTAGTTAGAGCAGTTAGGCAAGAGAAGGAAACAAAAGGTATCCAAACTGGAAAGAGGGAATTTAAATTGTCAATGTTTGCGGGTGACATCATCTTATACACAGAAAAGCCTAAACATCCCACCAAAAAGCTATTAGAAATAATGAACAAATTCAGCAAAGTTACAGGATACAGTCAATTTACAGAAATCAGTAACACTGTTATACAGCCATAATGAATCATCTGAAAAAAGAAATCCAGAAAGAAATTCCATTTCCAACAGCCACAAAAAAAAAAAAAAAAAAAAAAAAAAAAGCAAAATACCTGGGAATAAATTTAACAAAAGAAGTGAAAGTTCTCTATAATGCAAACTGTAAATCACTGACTTGAAGAGGACACAAAAAAATAGAGAGACATCCTGTGTCCCTGGATTGAAACAATCAATGTCATTAAAATGTGCATACCACCCAAAGGAATTTGCAGACTCAATGGAATCCCTGTCAAAAATCCCAATAACATTTTTCATAGAACTATAGAAAACACTACTAATAGATGGATGGAACCACAAAGGACCCAAAATAGCCAAAGCACTCTTGTGCATAAAGAACATAGCAGGAAGCATTATACTACCTGACTATAAAATACACTTAAAAGCTACAGTATTTAAAACAGCATTTAGTGGCATAAAACCAGATCCATTGGCCAATTGAACAGAAACCCACACATCTACAACCAACTGATCTCTGACAAAGGAGCTAAGAACAACCATTGGAGAAAGAACAAAGTTTTTTGTTTTTTGTATTTTTTTTTAAGATTTATTTATTTATTTGAGGCAGAGTTACACACAGAGGGAGAGACAGAGAGAGAGGTCTTCCATCCACTTGTTCACAGCCCCAGTGGCTGCAACAGAGCTCGGCCGATCAGAAGCCAGGAGCTTCTTCAGGGTCTCCCACGTGGGTGCAGGGGCCCAAGGACATGGACCATCCTCCATTGCCTTCCCAGGCCATTAGCAGAGAGCTGGATCAGAAGTGGAGCAGCTGGGACTCGAACCGGCCACAGGTGGATGCTTAACCTACCATAACACAGTGCCCCAGAACAGTCTTTTTAATAAATAGTACTAGGAAAATGGGATATATTATATGCAGAAGGATGAAACTATGTCCCTATGTCTCCCCATTTATAAAAATCAGCTCAAAATGGATTGAAGACCTAAATGTGAAACCTGGAACTGTGAGATTATTCAATGAAAGCAAGCATTTCAAGACATTGGAATAGGCAAGGATTTTGAGCATCAAGAAATAAAAGCAAAAATAGACAAATGGAATTCCAATAAACTAAAGAGCTTTTCCACAGCAAAGGAAACAACCAACAGAATGAAGAAACAACTTACAGAATGGGAGAAAATATCTGCAAGCTATATATCTGACAAGGTGTTAATATGCAGAATATACAAGGAACCCAAGCAAGTCAAAGCAAAAAAAAAAAAAAAATTAAAAAATGGGCAATAGACCTAAACCCATTTTTCAAAGGAAGACAAATGGCCAAAAAGTACATGAAAAGATGTTCAACATCACTAATCATCAGGGAAATGCAAATCAAAACCACAAGTACCTCACTCCAATAAGACAGTATTGTCAAAAAGATAAAAGATAACAAGTGTTGGTGAGGATGTGGAGAAAGGGGAGCACTTGTGCACTGCTGGTGGGAATGTAAATTAGTACAGCCATTGTGGAAAAGTGCCGCAAAAAACTGAAGATCAAACTACCACATGATCCAGCAATCCCACTTCTGGGATATATCCAAGGAAAAGGAAAGCCATCTGTCGTAGAGGTGTCTGCACTCCCATGTATATCGCGTGCTGTTCACAATAGCCAAGAAATCGAAACAACCCCAGGTGTCCATCAACTGATGAGGGTGACCTAGAAAATGAGGTGCTTGTACTCAGCTGAATACTACTCAGCCATAAAAAGGTGCAATCCTGTCATTCGCAATAATACGGGTGGAACTTGAGGTCAGTATGTTCAGTGAAGTAAGCAAAGCACAGAAAGACAAACATCACGTGATCTCACCCACATGTGGCGTCTAAAACAATAGATGATCTCATAGAAGTTTAAAATATAAATGGGATTACCAAAGACTAGGCAGGGAAGAGCGGAGGGAGGGGTTAGGAAAATTCCACTGACAGGTACTACATGATAGTAGTTCTGGGCTTCTATTGCATGGTAGGGTGAAGACAGATAATGTTCGTGCACTGTATACTTTTCTATTTTAAAAACTAGAAGATATAACTTTTGGATGTCTTCACCATAAAGAAATGTTAAATGCTTGCAAGTATAAATATATTTACCCTGATCAGACATTATACAACATACACATGGACTACATCACATAGTACCCCATAAATATGTACAATTTTGAGAGGTAGTGCTGTGGCATGGTGAGTAAAGCCACCGCCTGCAGTGCCGGCATCCCATATGGGCACTAGTTCAGGTCCTGGCTGCTCTACTTCTGATCCAGCTCTCTGCTATGGCCTAGGAAAGCAGTGGAGGATGGCCCAAGTCCTTGGGCCCCTGCACCTGCATGGGAAACCTGAAAGAAGCTCCTGTCCTGGCTTCGGATCAGCCCAGCTCCAGCCATTGTAGCCATTTGGGGAGTGAAGCAGTGGATGGAAGACTTCTCTCTCTCTCTCTCTCTCTGTCTCCTCCTCTCTCTAACTCTACCTCTCAAATAAACCTTAAAAAAAAGGAAAGAAGGGAAAGGGAGGGGAAGGAAAGGGAGGGGAGGGGGAGGGAGGTGAGGGGAGGGGAGGGGGAAGGAAAGAAGAAATAAGGAGGGAGGGAGGGAGGAAGGGAGGGAGGGAGGGCTGAGGATTCCCTCCGGCACACATTACCCAATTAGATGGTCTAGGTTCACTCAGGGGCAGGTTGACTTACAGCACTCAGAAACTCCTCCCCAGCGCAAATCACAAAGTGAGCTGCCAAGTGAGCCCCAGAAAACCAAGGGGGAGAGGAAAGACCCTGTGTAAGGGGAGTCTCTCACTGGAGGCTCCCAGAGAGCCGGGCAGACACCATTGCGGGGAACAGCCCGCCACAGACCCCCCTTGGGAGTGTGAGGCCAGAGGATTTAAAAAAAAAAAAAAACAACCTGGCCTCTGCCTTCAAGAACTCACCTTTTTTGGGAGGTGTGGGGAGGGGTAACATAGATGGACACCATAACCAACCCCTGCTCCGTTTCCTAAGGGCTAGAATACACACGTGTTGGAGGAGCAGCGTGAACCCGGAAGTGAACCATTCATCGCGCCCTGGCGGGTGAGGGAAGGCTGCACGGCGATGTCACTAGGTACAAGGTCCGAACCAGGACAGAGCTCCCGGCTGTGCAGCGGCGGCAAGAGGCGCCTCAGACCTCCCCGGGCAGCCTCCCAGGCCCGGCCCGGAGCCCCAGTCCAGCGGGCGCGGCAGGAACGCGATGGCACCGCGGCCTGGGAGGCTCTCCCGGCTCTGCTCCCGCGTGGCCAGGGCCGCCTTCCTCACGACCTGACGGCCCGAACACCGGCAGGCAAACCCCTTGGGAGTGCGTGCTCTGTGCCGGGCTCCAAAGTTTTACTTGTGTACATCGTTTCATTGAATTCCCCCCCACACCACCCCGGGAAAAAAAAAAAAGGTAGCGTAGGCCCAAGAAACCCCACTGTACAGATGAGTTCGCCGAGGCCCGCAGCCTTCCCGCGGGGAGGTGCGTTCGCCCGGGGAGCGCCTTTCGGCCGGGCCCCGGGTAGCCTAGGGCGGCGCCCCGTGCAGTGCAGTCGCTCAGAAACCGCCCGGGTAGAAGAAAAGAGGGGAACAGATCCCGCCTCCGCGCCCTCCCTCCTTCCCGGGCCCCTCCCCGCCCCGCGAGGCCCCGGAGCGCGCCCTCCGCGTCGGCCTGGCCTTCCTGCCCCGTCCACAGCCGCTCGCCCGGGGCCCCGCCACCCCTCGCGCACGGCTGCGCCTGCTTCCCGCTTTCCCCCGGCCGTCCCGCAGCCCGCCGTCCTCCCGCGTCTCCCTCAGGCGTCCCGCGCTTCCTCCCTCTTCTCCTCCTCCCCGCCCCAGCTCCACGGGGCTCCCGGGCTCTGCGCCCTCGTCCCCAAAATTCCCTGTTGTTTCCCCCTCGCCCGGCCTCTCCCTCCCACGCTGCCGACGGAGGCCGCTGTGCCGCCCTGGAGCCTTCGTCGTGGCGTCGGAGCCTGCGGGCCCGCGAGCCCTCCTGAGGCCTCATTACCACCTTCTCCCCGGGGCCGTCTCCGCCCAGGGCGCCCCCGCGGCCCGGCCCTGCCTGCCCGGGGAGAGCTCGCCGTGCGTCCCGAGCTGGGCCCTGGAGCGTGCCCCCGGGGAGCGAATCCAGCACGAGGCCGACGGGGCCTCCGTGTCCGCGGGCTCCCGGCGGCCGCGCTGGCGCCCAGGCCCGGGCGGTGCCCACTACGCGCCAGCATCGCCAGGAACGAAGGACCGCGCCTGAGGGATTTTTGAGGGATGAACAGCTCTTTAGGTTCCAAAAGAACCCTAGTCCAGCAAGCCGGAGTGCCATCTCCTAATTGTCTGCGATTTTTAAAGATTTGAAAGGCAGTTAGAGAGAGACAGAGAGAGAGATTCCATCCCCAAATGGCCCCCAACAAAGCCAGGAGCCTGGAGCTCCACCTGGGTCTCCCGCGTGGGTGCGGGAGCCCAAGCACTGCCATCTTCCGCTGCTTTCCCCGGCATTAGCAGGGAGCTGGAACAGAAGTGGAACAGCCAGGACCCCAACCAGTGCTCATATGGGATGCTGGCACTGCAGGCAGAGGCTTAACCTGGGGCACCCCAATGCCAGCCCTGGGTATTTTTCTTGAATGAACTGTTTTCTTAATCTGAAATAATTTCTAATCAAGTAGTTTAGTTAATATTCATTTCAGAGTGTTTCTGAGAGTCTCAACATGTTTGGACTCATAAAAAATAAAAATAAGTATATAACGCTAATATTAAACTTTTTTAAAAAGATTTATTTTATTTATTTGAAAGAGTTACAGAGAGAGGTAGAGATAGAGAGAGGTCTTCCATCCGCTGGTTCACTCCCTAGATGGCCGCACGGCAGGAGCTGAGCTGTTCCAAAGCCAGGAGCTTCTTCCAGGTCTCCCACACAGGTGCAGGGGCCCAAGGAATTGGGCCACCTTCCTCTGCTTTCCCAGGCCATGGCAGAGAGCTGGATCAAAAGTAAAGCAACCGGGACTCGAACCGGCGCCCATATGGGATGCCGGTGCTTCAGGCCAGGGCTTTAACCCGCTGCACCACAGCTCCAGCCCCCTAAAGTAAACTTTAAAAAGAAAAAAAAAATCACTCAGCATACCACTATGCTACCTTTGTTGATTGTTATGTGTTTACTCCCATTTATTTATTTTCACTTTATATGAAAGGCAAAGAAAGAGATGTAGAGAGATTACTCCCCAGATGCTCACAACAGCCAGGGCTTGGTTGGGCCAAAATGAGAAGGCTGGAATTCAGTCTGGGTGTCCCATGTGGGTGGCGGGGATCCAACTACTTCAGCCATCGTCTGCTGCCTTCCGGATGCAGGAAGTTGCGTCAGAAACAGAGGCCCAAGCAGTCTGCTGTGGGATGCAGGCATTCCAAGAGGCAACCTCAGCTCTCCTCGGAATGCCGACCCTAAGGGTCCTCCCAGTTCTGTGGGTAAATGCCGAGAAGCGCTTATCCTGGTTGGTGTGGAAGGCAGCTCTGTCAGTGTGACCAAGCAAATGTGAAAGAGGGTTGCATGGAGTTTACACGTGTTCTCCAAGTGGCTGTTTTTCCATCAGCAAAATGTCTGAATCTGAATCATTATTTTTCTGTAGGGAAAACAATCTGATATCTCTATAGCAGGTGTCCACTTCTTACTTTACACAGAAGACATCCCACATAGATGTACTTGCTTAATTTTTACTTGGGAGACTGTGTCCTTACCTGGTGCCCAAGGCCCAAATTTCCTTCCCACAAATGTCTCTTGCTCCCCAAATTCTCCACTAGTGTCCAGCAGCCTTGGCCACCCACGGTCCTGAGAACAGCCCCAGCACATACCCAGTGTCTTTCCTCTTCTCTCTGCTTTCCTTGAATTTTTTCAGCTCCCTATTCTTTAGTATCCAAATGAAGTTGCAATTTAGCAACAAAGCTTTCTCAGAATCCTTAGGGATTTTTCCTACCAGTGCTCACTACGAACACTCATTCCTTTATGCTGTTAGATTCACAAACAGGATCTGCCTCCTAGATTTCATGATGTCACCTCTGCCTTCTGTTGGCAAATATGTGTTGTTGATGATGATCTGGTCGGGAGTGATACAAAACACTAGAATTCCAAGCCATAAGAAAAGAGCATGGACTTGGAAGTCAGACAGAGCCTGATTCATCCTAACGATGTGACCACGGCAAAGTCTCAGAGCCTAAGTTTATTCAACTGTAAATTGGGGATAATAGCAGGGCTATAGGGAGGTTCTAATGAGGTAACACTTTGCACAGTGTCAAAACCGCTCAGTATTTTGTATGCCCTGAATAAACGGTTGGAGCTATTTGTTTACTATGAATAATAATGAAAAGCAGGAGACTAGAGTTTGCTAATAGATTTCACAGAGCATTTGTTTTATAAAAGCATCATGACCCACCAACATGATGAAATTATCTGTCAAAGAATTTCACATTAAACACTAGTGACAGGGAGTGGTTCTGGGGACTTCGTGCGTTAGTGAAATTCCACAGCTCTGAGATTTTGCTACCCAGTGCCAAATGTCTGTGATCCCTGCTCAGAGTTTCGAAGGATATGCTAATTTGAATAGTCATTACTTTGTTTCCAGAATTGGGAATGACACTCAAAGCTTAGTGGGTCTCCTAGAAGGTTGGAGCTGGGAGTGACTCCAAGGACAGCCCTTGTTCTGTGTACAAGGAAGCAGCAGCCACCTGACAGGGTCACCTGGCAGGTGAGTGGCAGAGCTGGGATTCTGAGCCCCAGTTCTTCCCCTCCAGCTCTGAGCTCAGTATCTCCACACCATGCCGACTTCTGGAACAAAGAGCGGCTGTGAGCGGCAACTGTTGGCAGCAGCTCTGGGTGGCCCGTGCCCCGTGTACCAGGAACACTGAGATTTGATCTCTTGCCGGAGTGCTTGGCGGTCACGGTCATAGACCACAGGGAGAAGAGTGGGACTCTGAGTAGCTGTTACATGAGAAACTCTCCCGTTGCTAAAGCCGCTGGCTTCCTCCGGTGGCTGTTCTCTGAACTGTCCATTTTCTGAAGGCAGGAACAGTTCATGTTCTAAGGCACTGAGCAACGCTTGCACTCGGCACCTGTCTCAAGGGCTCCTGCTCAGCATGGGAATCTGGCCTCTGGGCTGGAACTGGAGTCACCTCAGTGCTTTCAAAAGGAGCCCCGGGACCATCAACAAACATCACGCCTCCCACCTCCCGGGATTCCTCCCACAGAGACACCTTTGAATAGGGGAGCAAACAGGAAGAGGAAGGCTCAGAGAAGCGCGGCCGTGCTTCTTACCCATAGCGGGCACACATACAGGTGCCCTCAGTGCTTTGGTTTCACCTAGGAGGAAAGCAAAGCAGAGAAATAAATGTTTGTCGAGTGAATGACTGGTTACCAAAGGTATAATTCAGTAATCTTAGGCAGCACCATCAGTCATTTCTGAGCAACTAAACTTTCACAAACAGAACCGTGACCCACCTGGCTTACAGGGCAGAGCTTGGCTCCTGTCTCAACATTCTGGGGCTTTCTCAGATGACAAATATTGGGAGTTCCTGACATGTAGAGCTCATAATAAAATTTGCCCAGTGGTGCATCTTGCCTGAATCCAATTCAACAGTCACAATGGCTCCCGTGAAGTCACTCCGCAGCCAGGGTGCATCCCTGCAGAGCAGAAACAGGCCCTGATGAATGAGGAAGCCCCAGCCACGCAGAGGCCCTGACTAGACCCAGATGAAGCTCCCCTTTGTTCCTCATCTGCTGTGAATGCAGCCGTAACTCCAACGGGTCTGCTGCTAGCTCAGTGTGACCTCATCACAGCCTGGCCCGTGCCCACACGTGTGCCCGCTGAGCGCTTTGCCCATGATTCACACACAGCCTGCACACCTGCCAGAGGAACGCTGAGCTCTGACGGCTGCACGAGCCGGGAGCCAGGAGCACGGATCAGGATTCCCGAGGCCGCCAGCCCTAGGCTCGGTGATGGATGCCTGCTGCTCCTCCCGAGCTAACTCTCAGTCTAAAGCATTGCATCGTGCCCTTTAGGCAACAAGTAATGGCTCAAGTATATGGATCCCTGCCACCCACATGGGAGACCTGGATTGAGTGCCAGGCTCCTGGCTATGCCCCAGCTGGCCATTTGGGGAGTGAACCAGTGAATGGAAGATCTGTTTGTCTCGGTCTCTCTGCCTTTTGAATAAATAATAGTTTTCAAACAAAAAATGTTAAATAAAGCATTGCATCTGCAGCCTGTGGAATCCCAGAGGAGCTCATCTGTTGGGTGCAGACTTAGAGGTGTTATCTGATTTCATTATCTTGACAGCCAAGAGAGGCACATTTCATTGCGCCCATTTAATATGTGTGGAAATAGGAGCTCCGACATCCAGTGACTGCTCTGAGGTTCCTCAGTTAACAAGTAGCAGAGCAAAGTCAGTACCCAGATTGTGTCTGACTCCCAAGCGTATGGCCTGTGCTCTCTCTGCAGTCTGTGTCACACTGTCGCTCACGGCTGAGGTGCAGCACTGTGCATGTGTGAACACCAAGCCGGCAGGAGCGGAGACTGCTGGACCTGGTCCTCGCCTAGCCTGGTTCGTCCATCTGTTCTTTGTCCCAGCAGATGTTGGCACCACTACTGTGGGCCAGACCTGCAGCAGGTGCTGGGCATTCTGGATAAATAGCACCGAGGTCCTGCCCTCTGCGCAAGGACTCCGAGGGCAAACAAGGACTTCCCGTAAGGGCTGCTCCCCTGCCCTGCGTATGCTCACTTTCAGCAATAGCAATCATCTTTGCAGGGAGCTCTGGGTTACTACGCTGGCTCTGGACACCTGGGCTACACAAAGCCCAGAGCACAGGGCCGAGTGGCACTGCGTTGACCCCATGCTAGGTAAGCGTCCCAGCAGGATTTCAAACAGTGGGGTGGTGTTCAACTTCTCTTCCCCACCTGTCTGGAATTGCTTTTAGCTACACTTCTGAAGGGCCCACTATGAGCGTTACTTCCGGAGCCATCACAATTCCGGTGAAGGTATTTCATGCTTCATTAGTGGCCGGCTTCCCCTGATACAAAAGGGCTGGAAGGAGGCACATCGGTTACAGCCCACCTTGGGATGCCTGCATCCCACATCAGAGTGCCTGGATCGGAGTCTTGACTGCTTCTGACTCCAGCTTCCTGTTAATGTGCACCCCGGGAGGCAGCAGGTGAAGGCTCAAGTACTCGGGTCCTTGTTCCCAGCCTTTGTCTTTCAAATAAATAATAAATTTTTTTATAAAGAAGGCCCTGGACAAACTGTGCTGAGTGGATCAAATGTCCTCTAGCACTCCCCACCCAGTTGACAAGACTTTTTCCTTCTCAGGGGAACCTGTAGGATTAGACAATGTGTGAGGGACCGTCGGAGTGGCCAGGACACTTCTGTATACAACCTTCTAGAAGACCAAAGAGAAGATGAGGGTCTGCAACAGCGTCTCTGTGTGCAGCACCTCTAGTCACTGGCACTTCAAATATATTCGTTAAGAATGGATAAAGCCCCTCCTCCGCTCCCCTCGGGGAAGTAGAACAGTGTTGGCCGAGGGCTGGGGTGGGAAGGGAAACAGGAAGGTGTGGAGTTATACAAGAAAAGTCAGTTCCAGAAGCCTAGACATGGCACAGAGACCATAGTATTTTCTACTTGAAATTTGTTACTGCAGAGGAGCTCCAGTGTCCTCCACACACACGCATGGCAGTCAGGAGAGGTTATGTGATGGATATGTTAACTGGCTTCACGTGGTGGTCATTTCATGATATATAAGGACATGAAAACATTTACGGCCGGCGCTGCGGCTCACTAGGCTAATCCTCTACCTACCGGCGCCGGCACACAGGGGTGCCGGATTCTGTCCCGGTTGCCCCTCTTCCAGGCCAGCTCTCTGCTGTGGCCTGGGAGTGCAGTGGAGGATGGCCCAAGTGCTTGGGCCCTGCACCCCATGGGAGACCAGGATAAGTACCTGGCTCCTGCCGTCGGATCAGCGCCGTGCGCCGGCCGCAGTGCGCAAGCCGTGGCAGCCATTGGAGGGTGAACCAACGACAAAAGGAAGACCTTTCTCTCTGTCTCTCTCTCTCTCACTATCCACTCTGTCAAAAAAAAGAAAAGAAAACATTTACAACTTTCCTATTTGTTCACACACCCCTCTAAAGTTAGAGGGAAATGGGAGTCCATGTGGGAAGAGAGAGGTGGCACCTTCCTAATTCCAAGGCTGGCCATTAACTCAGATGAAGATAAGAGCACCACAGTCCCCAACCCAGAGGGACTGCTAAAGCAATGGACTTTGACCTGATCAAACCCAATAAAATCTAACGAAATGCTTATAAAACTGCTGAAAAAGCATGTTATCTTTTCTCCTGGACTTAATTCTGGAAAGACAAAAAGACTGACATCACTAGAAGCCTTCTTGCCACCACTTAGAGCCTAAAAGTATAGTCAATGTTAGACCAATAAGTGCCAAGGAATAGAGTAAAAGTTGAGCCTAGTGACAGCATTTGATCTCCGGGAGCAAGCTATACCTGAAGCTATAGTTTTTGTGTACTTTTTAGTTATATAAGCCAACAAGTCTCTCCCACCTTATTTTTCTTTTCTCTCTCTCTCTCTCTCTCTCCCTCTCTATTTTTTTTTTCCTTAAGCCAGGATGAGCTGGGTTTTCCGTTTTTCACAATCAAAAGAATCCCAAATGATATACACTCAAGTTCAGTAGCCAAATCCTACAAGGACAGTTAAACACACTTTTAAAAAAGATTTATTTTTATTTATTTGAAAGGCAAAGTTGCAGAGAAAGTGGGGGAGACAGAGAGAGAGAGATATCTGCCAGCTTACTCCCCAAATGGCCATAATGGCCAGAATTGGACAAGGCTGAAGCCAGGAGCCAGGAACACTATCCAGATCTCCCACATGTACTTGGGCTATCTTCCTTCATTTTCCCAGGTGCATTAGCTGGAAGCTGGATCAAGAGGAGCATCTAGGAGTTGAACTGGTACTCGTATAGGATGCCAGCATTGCAGGCAGTGGTTTAACCCTCTGCACCACAACACCAGCTCCAAACATACATTTAAAGGTTAAAAATAACTGGAAGGGACTGAAAGACTCTCCATGACAGTAATTAAAAGGAGCCACGATTAAGTTACCACCCCTATGCAGAAACCTGAGACCAGAAATCCCTTCTTTGACTTTGATCATCGCTTTTTTAAAAAAAGATTTATTTGTTTATTTGAAAGGCAGAGTTACAAGGAGGCAGAGGCAGAGAAAGAAAGAGAGAAATCCCTCATCTGCTGATTCACTCCCCAAATGGCCACAATGGCCAGAGCTGGGCTGATCCAAAGCCAGGAGCCAGGAGCTTCCTCCAGGTCTCCCATGTGGGTGCAAGGGTCCAAGGACTTGGGCCATCTTCTACTGCTTTTCCAGGCCATAGCAGAGGGCTGGATTGGAAGTGGAGTACCTGGGACTCAAATCGATGCCCATATGGGATGCTGGCACTGCAGGTGGCAACTTTACCCGCTATGCCACAGCACTGGCCCCTGAAAATCACTTCGGATTGGACAATTACATTTCTGAATGACAAACCTCCATCTCGTTTTCATTATGAAGAGCAAATGAGGATAAAAACATTCAAGTGCTTAGGACAGTATCTGACAGTCAGTGGGTTCTGCACAAATTTGAGTCTCCTAGAATATTATGGTAAAATACAAAATGAATGCAGACCTCCACGGCTGTTCCAGATAATATTCTTTTTTAAAAGATTTTATTTACTTAATTGAGAGGTAGAGTTACAGACAGAGAGAAGGAGAGATAGAGAGAAAGGTCTTTCATCTGCTGGTTCACTCCCCAAATGGTTTCAATGGCCGTAGCTGGGCCAATCTCATCCAGGAGCCAAAAGCCAGGAGCTTCTTCCAGGTCTCCCACACGGGTGCAAAGGCCCAGGTGGGGCCATCTTCTACTTTCTTCCCAGGCCGTAGCAGAGAGCTGGACTGGAAGTGGAGCAGCAGGGACTTGAACCAGCACCCAGTATGGGATGTCAGAGACACAGACAGAGGCTTAGCCAACCACACCACAGTGTCGGCCCCTAAGATAATATTTTTTTTTTTTTTTTTTTTTTTTGACAGGTAGAGTTATAGACAGTGAGAGAGAGAGAAATAAAGAGAAAGGTTTTCCTTCTGTTGATTCACCCCCCTAATGGCCGCTTCGGCCGGCACTGTGCCAATCCGAAGCCAGGAGCCGGGTGCTTCCTCCCGGTCTCCCATGTGGGTGCAGGGACTCAAGCACTTGGGCCATCCTCCACTGCACTTCCAGGCCACAGCAGAGAGCTGGACTGGAAGAGAAGCATTGGCCAATGCTCCCAATATATGGTACAGTACAGAGAACATCAGAAAGGCCTAAATTACCACCCAGATAATTATAATCCCCTACCGGTCTTGAGTTTTTGTTGTTGCTGTTGCTGTTTTAACTAAGTCTCCCTGCTCTTATCTGTGACATTTGGATAATAATATGGGTCTGTCCTCCTTTCCTCCAGCTCCCACAGTCCTGTCTGGCAGGTGTACGGTGGGTCTGTACTTTCTACTCCCTTTGAAATGATGTGTCTCCTTGAGGTTGGCTTTGGGAAATGAAATGGGAGCCACAATGACTTGTGTCTGTTGAGGTGGAATCTTTAAGAATTGGAGCATGGGGGCAGATGTGTGGCACACAGGGTGAAGCCAGCCACCATCTGAGACACCGACATGCCACATCCGTGCACCAGTTCACATCCTGGCTGCTCCACTTCCCAGCCTGCTCCCTACTATTGTGCTTGGGAAAGTAGCGAATCATGACCTAAGAACTCGGATTCCTGCCATCCAGGTGGAAGACTAGTTGAAATTCAAGGATCCTGCCTTAAGCCTGGCCTGGCCCTGGCTGCTGTGGCCATTTGGGGAGTGAACCAGCGAATAAAAAATCTCTCTCTATCTCTCTCTTTCTATCCCTCTCTCTCCCTCCCTCCCTCTCACTTTGTCTCTTCTGCTGTCCGTCACTCTGCTTTTCAAATAAATAAATCTTAAACAAACAAAACAACAAGAACCAGAGCATGGTATGCTGAGTCTTCTTCCATCTGATAAAGTGATTCTAGAAGCAAGCTTGAACCTGTCAGCCTGAGTCCTTTGGTATCTCTAACACACAACACTCCCTGATGAGCTGCACTGGGTCCAAAGCAGGAAACAGACTTTGAGGGGCCGGTGTTATGGCGCAGTGATGGAGCACGCATTAAGTCCTGGTTGCTCCACTTCTGATCCAGCTCTCTGCTAATGCTCCTGGGAAAGCAGCGAAAGATGGCCCAAGTGCTTAGATCTCTGCTTCCCACGTAGAAGACTAGGATGGAGTTCTAGGCTCCTATCTTTGGCCTGGCCCAGCTTGGCCACTGTGATCATTTGGGGACTGAACCAGCAGAAGGAAGATCTCTTTCTGTCTCTCTCCCTATCTCTGCCTTTCAAATAAATAAAATAAATATTTTTTAAAAAATAGATTTTGAGTTGTTCCTATTTGCAAGTTATCAAAACCACCCTATTTGATACACTAGGCCAGATCCCCCCTCATACTTAAAATCAATTAGAGATATTTGGTGTGTAACTCACTTAACACTTGGAACATCTCTGTGTATTACAATGAATGTGAAGATATTTCTAGAGTGTTAAAAGCAAAATTAGGAAGATCCAAAGTAAAATGGGTATGCTTAAAAAGCATTGCTAAAATGCAGGGCCAAACAAGATGTCAGATGACAAACACTCTCGTGCCCTGTTGTGAGCAACGCGGATTGCACAAGCTTCTGAAAGGTGATCCAGCCCTGGCCATCAAAATTTGACCTACTTCAGAAACTCCTTAGAATAGAATGAGATATGGTGCAAAGAAGTATGTATAAGAAGAATGTTGGCCGGCGCCGCGGCTCACTTGGCTAATCCTCCGCCTGCAGCGCTGGCACACCGCGTTCTAGTCCTGGTCAGGGCACTGGATTCTGTCCTGGTTACTCCTCTTCCAGTCCAGCTCTCTACTGTGGCCCGGGAAGTCAGTGGAGGATGGCCCAATTTCTTGGGCCCTGCACCAGCATGGGAGACCAGGAGGAAGCACCTGGCTCCTGGCTTCCAATCGGCGCAGCGTGCCGGCCATGGAGGCCATTTGGGGAGTGAACCAATGGAAGGAAGACCTTTCTTTCTGTCTCTCTCTCTCACTGTCTAACTCTGCCTGTCAAAAAAAAAAAAAGAAGAAGAAGAAGAGAATGCGGAAGAATGTTATTGATGTGCTGGTGATAAGAGTGAAAAACTGGAGACGACCTAATTATCCAACAGTAGGAGACTGGCAATAAAAAGCAAGGGAATGGCTGGTGTTGTGGTACAGCGGGTTAAGCTGCTTCCTGCGATGCCAGCAGCACATATAAGTCCCGGCTGCTCCGCTTTCCACCCAGCTCTCTGCTAATGCGCCTTGGAAAGCAGAGGATGTACTTGGGTTCCACTCACATGGGAGACCACCTAGCTGCAGCCTGGCCCAGGCCAAGCAATTGTGGTCATTTGGGAAGTGATCCAGCAGATGGAAGATATCTCTCTCTCTCTTTCTCTGTCTCCCTTCTGTCTATATAGCTCTGCCTTTCAAATAAATAATTTTTTTAAAAGCTTAGGAAATACATATAGGGATCTCTAGACAGAGTGTGAAGAACAGTGAAGCTAATCCATTGTTTAATATAAGTATGTGCATGATGTATTATTTGTAAAAGGCAAAGTGAAAATGACATGTATTATATGATTCCATTTTCATAAGTGTATGTCTGCAATACTGAAGAACTGGTGATTATGAGCTCGGTTGATTTCCATTTTACTTTTTCCCTTTCGAGTGCCTATCTAAACATATATTACTGTTTTTCTAATCAGAAAAAAAAAAAATAATGAGACTGTTGTTATCTGAAAAGGGAGGGAGATGCATGGGAGCAAAGGCAGAGGCAGAGGATCAGAGCGAGGGAGAGAGACAGAGAGTTACCCACCACAACAGCTCCGGGTCCTAGGCAGCCCCAAGCCACTCAGAGCTGTGAGCACTGGAAACGAGATCCGTCCAGAGACATGCCTTAAGTATGACATTAAGACTGACTTCAAAGATGGCATGAAAGAGAGCAAATCATCTTGTTAATAATTTTAACATAGATGTGTTGGAACAGTAACATTTTTGATATATTGGTTAAATCAATCATTATTTACTTATATTACATTCACCTGTTCCTATCTACATTTCCAATGTGGATAGTAGAAAACTGAGAATTCCATATGCAGCTCATAGTTTGAGTGGACAGTGCTGGCTTAGAAATTCATCTAGAGGAAATATTGTCAGCTCTGGCTTAATTTACCTAAAACCTTCATCCAGAATGCAGAGTTACCAAAGGAACAGTATTTAACACCTAACAGAATGGTTTCTAAGACTTTTTAAACTTTTGGCCTTTTTTTTTTTCTATTTGGCCACTTATAAGCACTTTCAGTTTAAGTCATTTTATATAAAGCTACTTCTGTCTCAGCTTTAAGCTAAAATACCAGTGACAGGATGAGACTATATAGAAGCTTTATTTGATTAAAAGGAACTTTAAAAAAAGTGTGTGGGATAAGCATTTAGTTTAGTGGTTAAGATGCCCATAGCCCACATTGGAGTACCTGGGCTCAACACCTGGCTCTGGCTCCTGACTCCAGCTTCCTGCTAATGCAGACCTTGGGAGGCAGTAGCGATGGTTCAAAAAGTAGTTATAACCCTGCCACACCCTCATGGGAGACCCAGACTGAGTTCCTGGCTCCTGGCTTCTACCTGACCCAGCCCTGCCATTGCAGGCAGCTGAAGAATGAACCAACAGGTAGAAATTCTTTCTTCCTTCCTCTCTCTATATCTCTTCTTCCCCACCCAGAGAAATAAATATATACTTTAAAAATAATCCTAATTATTTTTAGTCCAATTAATATTTTCAGTCCAGTATTACATCATCATTTAGTTGTCACAAAATTTGAAGATCCACAAAGCATCAAATATTTCTGATGAAAGTGTCTCACCTTTTCACCCCCACTGTCAACACAGCAATGCTTCACTACAGAGTCACAGACTGGACTTATGGTAATTTTCTGAATAATGACAATCAGTCCACGAAAGTCTGAGAAGCAGACAAAATGCAGTAGGAAGGAAAAGCTAAAAAAAAAAAAAAGGCAAATTGATGAATCATAACTAAAACACAACCTCTGAATTGAGCAACTGTAGATCGATGCTAATTCAACATTGCATACATTTTTCCAAAAGCCACATACTGCAGTTTTAGATAAATAGAAAAGTATAAGATAGTTCACAGGCAATGGGAATATCAAATAACTATTACTGTCTACTTCCTTCCTTTCCACCTCCCTTTAGTCCCAGCCTGGACTCCGAGTGTGACTTGCAGGTGATGACCTTGCTCTTGTTGCTTTGGTCTTGGTGTTCCAAGTCATCTGGAAGGTCTGGCTCCTGGCCTTCGGCTCCCCCAGTCCCGCCACATTCCCCCGACTTCAGTAGAGATTTGCTCCATGCATTGTACCCCTCGGCACTCCCCGGCTTAGGGCTGTCCTGGCTCACCTCTCAGTCGCCAGTCTTCAGCTCTAGGAGATGACACTAGTTGGGGAGGATGAAGGTGGAGAGGTGGACAGAATGGCAGGAATACCTTTGAAGTGGAGGTTGTGGGGGAGGGAGGAAGAGAAAAACAAAACCAGAGGAAGGAATTGCATAATACAAAGCAGTCACCAGTCACCTTCGGAGAAAAACACTCCGAAAGCTATGGAAACCTCTCCATCACACATGAAGTGTTTTGACCAATACTAATTTTAGCTAAATGCCTCATTAGCTGGCTTGGCTTATGGGTGAGCCGATTTTAGTGGGTTCGCTTTTCAAGGATGCCCTAGCACAGGCACACATGACTCCCACTTGGCAGGTTCAGGACATCCTGAAAGCGAGGGAAGCACCTCCAGCCACACCTGCTCAGAGACAGGCTGCTCGGATTCCCTAATTACCTGGTTCTGTCTGCACTCATCAAGCAGCCTTCTCATTATGATCTGGCTTCCCGTGAAGATTTTCCTGCTGGGAGAGAACAGGCTGACCTGTGGGCGAGGGTGTTCTGGTCCCACTGGTGGTTACTCAGCATGAAAATTAATAAATCAGCATTCACCTGGGAATTCGATTTGCCTGTCCATTCTGCAGAGTCTAAAAACAATCTCTTCACTTACAAAGTGATGTGAATGTTTTATGTTCCGCCTTTGAGGCTGCAAAGCAGAATAGCCCACTTTAACAAGCATTAGCAAAGGGAGGAATTTATTGCAAGATGACATCGGCATGTCACAGAACTCTAGGGCTGAAAGGGCAGTTGTGACTGAACCCAGAGACAAGAAAGCCGTCAGAACTGAAGAAGCTGCTGCCCTTGCTCTCACTCTGCATGAGGGGAAACCTTCTCTACTCAAACACTTGTGACACCGAATGGATTGGTTTTCCACAACAAGCAATTCTCCGACTTCCTGTGGACACAAGCACCTGGCTGTCCCACAATTTAATTCAACTCTGACACGACCCAGAGGAAGCAGACTCCACAGAGGAAGCGCTTGGTCCCACGAGACTGCTCCCACTTCAGACGTCACTTGCCACACTTGGGTACCCCGGCTACCCACACTTTGGCGTGGCTTGGCCATGAGCCCCTCTTCAGGTTCACTTGTTTATCATAATCATTTACAGAATGCAAGGAAATTCTTTACACTGATCCCTCAATACTCACAGGAGGTGGAGATGATTCTAGGATCCCCCCACAGATACCAAAACCCTAGGACACTCAAGTCCCTCACATAAAACCACACAGTATTTGCATATCATTCCCTATACTTTAAATCATCTCTAAATTGCTTAAAATACTTAGTACAATGTAAAAAACTATGTGAATAATTGTTATACTGTATTGTTTAGAGAATAATCACAAGAAAAAATAGTATGTACATGTTTGGTACAGATACAACATTTTTCTAAATATTTTTGTTCTGTGGTTGATTGAATCTGAGCATGTGGAGCCCCAAGATGCAGAGGGCCTACTGCACTTGCTTTCTTTAGTTTATGATGAAGGATACACAGGGGGACTGGCACTGTGGCCTAGCAGATACAGCTGCTGCCTGCAGTGCCAGCATCCCATATGGGCACCAGTACAAGACCCGGCTCCTCCACTTCCAGTCCAGCTCTCTGCCAGGGACTTGGAAAGCAGTGGAAGATGGCCCATTCCATAGGGATGGTTGATTAAATCATTAGCCCTTGATGAATTGACTCCATCTCCAGCTCTTCTCTCCTTCCAGAGTCTAAAGGAGATGAAAGTCCCAACCCTATAATCATGTCATTGGTCTCTATGGTAACCAGTTCCCATCCTCCAACAGTCATTACCTCACTGGAATACACTCAGGTAGGATTGGGAGGGGATTCTGATGAATAACAAGAGGTTGCTCCCATCCCATCCCTCAGGAAATCCCAAAGGTTTTGGAATCTCTGTACCAGGATCCAGGGACAAATAGGTCCTTCTTTTTCTCCTGCAACATCACACTCCTGCTGATGTGCGCCTGCCTCACTCTTAGGCTACACAGACACCCATTCCTCTCTCCTTCTTTACACCTGCTTCAGTTTCTCCTCTTCCCACAGATCAGTCCTTGCTGTTTCTCAGGCACGCAGCTAAAGAAGCTGCTCCTCACCTGCTTAGTCCCAGCAACCAAAGCAGACAAGTATCGGTGACCCTCAACTCTACATTCCCGCAAAGAGAGTCAGATTGGCCCAGTTTGGGCCAGGGGTCCATTCCCGCTCAGAGTATCTATAACTGGTGAGGGGGGAAGGGGCTGGGACTAGGAGGACAGGGTCAGGCCCAGCTCCATCAAGTTGAAAACAGTTCCCAGGAGCAGGAAGATTATGGGAAGGGCAAGTATTCAAAAAATTATCACAGGGACACAAACTCTGAGACTCTGAGGTATTTCAGGATTTTAAATGCTTTTTATTTACTTATTTGCATTTAATTTGTGAGGCAGAGAGACAGAAAAAGACAGAGATCTTCCATACCCTGATTCACTCCCCAGTTGCCTGCAAATAGCCAGGGCTGGGCCAAGCCAAAGTCAGAACAGGGAACTCAATCTAGGTCTCCTACATGGATGGCAGGAACTCAACCACTTGAGCCATCGTCACTGCCTCCGAGCACGTGCAATCACAGAAGCTGAATCAGAAGTGGAGCTGGGGCTCGAACCCAGGAACTCTGATATGGGATGCAGACTGTGCCAAACGCCTGCTCCAGAACTCATAATTTTTACATTTGAGAATATGATCCTAAACCTCACATAATATCACGCACCAGAAGAGTCACAGGTAGCTTCCCATAACCAAATACAGCAATATATTTGCAATGAAAACACGAATATTCTTACAAAATAGGAAATGAGGAAAAAAAATAGTCTCACATGAGTTCAAACCAGATGTTGCCTTCAAAGGAGTCATGAAAATACTCTTGGTTTTCATCAGTGCTGAATTTCAAAACTGCAGATGAAGAATTTGGATTGCATTCCTCCAGTCTTGCAAAGCTGAGCCCCAGACCATGATGCTGTCAGGGACTTCCTCCAAGAGACTTCCTCGATTCTCACTCCTCCAAGAGCAGTCGCTGGACCAGCAGCGGCGGCAGCGGCGGCCCTTGGGGGCCTGTTAGAAGTGCTGAGTCTCAGGCTTCATCCAGATTTACTGACTCACAATCTGTATTTTGAAAAGACGCCCACTTAATGGACATGCATGTGAAAGACTGAGAGCACCCCTTTGTACAATGGTCCCTTCTTATATAACTTTGGAAAAGAGCTGCGAGCGCATTGTACAATTACAGTGAAGAAACAACCCTAACTCCACAGCACTGTCCCGACACTCACCACGCTGCTCCACGGATGACTCCACAGGTTGCTAAACAGTCTCTTTCCCTGTCACCATGGATCACTTAAGGAATGCTTCTTCCAGAACTGGTGTTCAAGCTCTACACCCTGGGTCAAGGCTTCTTTTTGTGAAACTCTATCAGAGGGGCCGGTGCCGCAGCTCACTAGGCTAATCCTCTGCCTTGCGGCGCCGGCACACAGGGTTCTAGTCCCGGTCGGGGCACCGGATTCTGTCCCAGTCGCCCCTCTTCCAGGCCAGCTCTCTGCTGTGGCCAGGGAGTGCAGTGGAGGATGGCCCAGGTGCTTGGGCCCTGCACCCCATGGGAGACCAGAAGTACCTGGCTCCTGCCTTCGGATCAGCGCGGTGCGCCGGCCGCAGTGCGCCAGCCGTGGCGGCCATTGGAGGGTGAACCAAAGGCAAAGGAAGACCTTTCTCTCTGTCTCTCTCTCTCACTGTCCACTCTGCCTGTCAAAAAAATAAATAAATAAATAAATAAAAGAAAGAAAGAAACTCTATCAGAGAAGATTTGTATAATCCTTCATGAAAATGGATCAAATAGTATATAAAGCAGCTGGAGATATAATTAAGAAATTTTTCAATAAAGAATACAAGCAAGCAAGATGCAGAGCAGTAGCCAGAACATTAATTCTCTTTGCTGCTTGCACAGATGAAAGAATTTTCTAGAACAACAAATCATACAGGGCCCATACTCAGAATGTTTTTGCAATATGGTAACAACCTTTTGACTTAAAGTCTTTTACCATGCACCCTGTTGTTCTGGAATTCATGAGAGCAATAAAAAAGAAGTAGATAGGGTTTTCTCAAATAAGAACAGTTTTATTCAGTAACTTTACATTTTCGCTTTTTACTTGAGAGACAGAGAAAGACAGAGACAAAGACAAACAGAGGTCTCCCATCTCCTGGTTCACTACCCAAATGACCACAGTGTGTAAGATTGGGTCAGGCTGAAGTCAGGAGTTAGGAACTCAACCCTGGTCTCCCATAAGGGTGTCAGGGACCCAACCATCACCTGCCACCTCCCAGGATACACATTAGCAGGAAGCTGGACAGATATGGGAATAGAGGTAAAACTCAAACCCAGGGATATGGGATGCAAGTATGCAGGTAAACCAAGCAGCACCTTAACCACTACATCAAATACCCTCCCTGAGTTCACTTTTAAGATCTTTGGAAATGTAAGAAACCTTCAAAATCCCAAAGATAAGGAAGTTATGAGTACTGAACCACCTCTCTAACTGCTTCCATCTGCCAGAAGCAGCAAGAAGGAAATAATTAAATGGGAAAAATAATGACATTGGCAGCTTTTAGGAAAACCCAACCAAGATGGAGAAAACACAGGAATCTTCCGAAAGCAGGTTAGTATTCATAAACTATCAGTAGGGGTAGTAGCTGACCAGGCAGTAGATACAGAAGTACAGCACTGGATTCTCCTCTACCCAGAGTCCCTTGCTGTGAAGTGTGGTTTTGCCATTCCACCAGACCAAGGCCATTGTGCCTGCCCTCAGACTACAGCCTCATTTGATTGCTCATGCTAACCTCCCGTGCCTCACATTCCCAGTGCTCCTGTCACTCAGAATGTCAGTTAGTTCCTCCTCTCTCCTCTCTTCTGACCAGAATCCCCACCACCCACCATCACCCCCCAGCATTTCACTAGGGCCTTTGAGAATCCGTGGCCAACAAAATCCCCACTCAATTCCTGAAGATTGTTCCTTGTTTTCTCCTTGAGCTAAAAATATCTTCCCTGATATGGGTAGAACTTGTCCCTCCCAAAAGATATATTAAAGCCCCACCCCCACCCCCAGAAACCTCAGAATGTGACGTTATACGGAAATAGGGCCATTGCAGATGGATCAGTGTCCTTATGAGCAGCAGCCACGTGAAGACAGACACACAGGGAGCACCACGTGACAGCATAGGCAGAGGCTGGCGTGATGCATCCACCACGAAGGAACACCTAAGATGGCTGCGAACCACGAGAGACTGGGAGGAGACAAGGAAGGACCCCCTGCGGGTTTCGGGCGGAGCATAACCCTACCAGCGCCTCAGTTTCTGACTTTCAGCCTCCAGAAGCGTAAAACGGCCCATTTCTGTTACTTTGTGGGACTTTGTCATGAAAGCCACAGGAACCCAACCCACCTCCTGAAGACAAGACCCCACCCACAACCTTTGTTTGAAGAGCAGCCTCATCATCCCGCCCTCCACACGCCTCGGACTGGCACGCGCACTTCTGTCCTCACCATCCTATGAGGCTGCTAAAACATATACCTCCACTCCACTCTCCCATAATCCTCTGCTCCTTTAGGGTTTACATCATCCCCCAGCCACCCCTCCACTCTGTCATTACCTGCTCACCTCAAGTGGACTCCACACGGTCAAACCTGAGGTGCTCACTTCTCCCACCCTCAACCTCTCCATCAGCCTATCCATAATCCAAACCTGTTTTCATGCATTTCCTGTGTCAATTAAAAGCACCAGCACCCACCCTGCCATCCAAAAAACCAGCAAGTTAACCTTAACTCCTTCCTGTTCCTTACCCTCAAATCCACTCGAACACCAGCAGTTGCCCATTTTCCTTCGTACAGTCTTCTCCACCACACTGTTCTCCTGCACTTGGCAGCCTTGCCCCAGCCCAGGATGTATCACCTTTTACAGAGCTCTCCCAGCAGCTTCTGAAGGGGACTGCCCGCCTCCAGGGTCAGCTCCCTCTAACCCAGCCCTCATCGGGCATACAAAACCAATGGAATATGCCGTTCCCCTCCTTTATAATAAAATTAACGTGTTTTCAAAACTACAATGTCCCCAGTTCCCTACAACAGAGATTCTTATGTGTCTGGGGTTCAGGGATATCTGTGTGCCCTAAAATTTGAGAATATGCTTATTTTGCTAGGGAGAAGCTTCTTGTCTCCCACTGGTTTTTCAAAGGAGTCTCTGGCTCCCTCGGGATTAATCTGGTAATTGGGAACTCTGTAGCTTCCCATGCCAGTTGTGAGCTGACATTTCCTCTGCTGTTCGATATTCACTTCTTTTCCTTATTCATTGTGCTGGATGTCCACCACGCACGAGGCCACGTGCTGGGTGCTGGGCATACCGCAGTGAATGAGCCAAGAGAGCTTTTCTCGTCTTGCTTCTTCCATCCTTCAAGTTAGCTAAGGCCTCACCTCCTCCAGGAAGCCCGAGTTATAGCCCTCATTTGCATCCCTCATTTGTATTCCCAGGGCCTAACATAGCTCCTGGTATACAACAAAGGTTCAATTTGTTGAACTAAACAAAGGAAAAAAAAAAAAACCCAAGATGGATTTTTCTTTTCCTATGAAGTGGAAACAAATAGTCCATTCCCCCACTGAATCCACAAGTGTAGTGGGCAAGTTGTAGCAGTACAGACTATTACAACCCTCACTGCCGAATCAAGAGGAATTCCACAGCTAAATCACATGTCCTTCTACAAACCCCTGAGCGCTGAGTCAACAGCACAACTGTTCAGGGTGAAGCACTGCTGATAAATGGAGTAGCTGCACAATGAGCCTCATTCTTGGGGCCAGTCTTTGGAAAAGGACCCAAGTCCCGCGTTTCCAGAGACACACATCCAGCTGTCCCTCCAGCGTGTGGGGCACAGCCTCTGCTTCCTCCTGCTCCTCACGGGCTTCCAGAGCCCCCTCCGCTACAGCAGGTGACAGCGTGCCTCAGAGGTGTGCCACGGTGGTGCTTACAGCCTGAGTCACTCCGCTGCTTCTTCCCTTGCGCGTTTCCTCATACTCCATCTGCCCCAGGGAGAGCTGTGCACGCCTCAGGGAGATGAGGACACTCACAGCTGGGCTACACAAACAAAGACTCAGCGCTCCCTGGCTGAGTTTCAAAATGAGTTCATGAAATAATTTAGTAGTAATGGCTCAGGGAGGAGGGACATGGGAAACGCGCAATTTGCCAAGTAAGGTTTTTTTGAGAGAAAAAAAAGGGAGAAATTCAAAAGGCAAACCTGGAAGGGATTAAGATATGACTTTTGCCCACTTTTAAAAAAATTACATCCTACCAAAACTGTTAATCAAATCTATTTAAGCCTTTAAAATCAACTTTAAGTGAAAAGACAAGGACTATATTTAGAAAGGATAAATGTTGAGTGACACTACAAAAAAAGGATCAGATGTATCAGAGGTGAGACATGCTGCAAGACAACTGGCTCCTCAGGAGCAAATGCATTTAAAAAGGGGCAAGGGGGAGCACCATTCGGGGCTGGCATTGTGGCGCAGCAGCTTAAGCCGCAGCCTACCATGCTGGAATCCCATACTGAAGCATCGCCTGGAGTTCTGACTGCTCCACTTCTGATCCAACTCCCTGCTAATGTGCCTGGGAAAGCAGCAAACAATGACCAAATACCTGCACACCTGTCACCCATGTAGGAGACCCAGATGGAGTTCCCAGGTCCTGGCTTCGGTTGGCCCAGCCCTGCCAGCTGCGGCCATTGTGGGAGTGACCCAGCAGATGGAAGATCTCACTTTATCTGTCTCTCATTCTCTCTCTCTCTCTGCCTTTCAAATAAATTAATACAATATCTTCTAAAAAGAAATTGTTTTAGAATAAAATAAAATCATAACTAATGCAATGTGTGAACTCTGATTGAGATAGATGAAACCATCATGATAATAGTGTTTTCTGGGTTTACTCACATTAATTTAAATGGACTCTATAGAGTCCATTTAAACATGCATATTCAGACAATTGGGGAAATTTGAGTGTATGGTTTAAATTAGGTGATATTATCAGATTACTATTTTATTTCCTTGGATGTGATAACTGCATTGTTATTTTGTAGGTGAACATCCTTATCCCTAAGAGACACATGCTGAATATTGAAGAATTTAGGAGTGAAAATTCTACAGTATACTTACAGTGGCTCATATATATGTTCTTTTATGGTAAAAACAACAGGGCTGGCATTGTGGCACAGTGGGTTAAGCCACTGCTTACAATGCTGATGTTCCATATGTGAGAATATGTTCAAGACCCAGTTGCTCCACTTCCAATCCAGGTCCCTGCTAACATGGGGAAAGCAGTGGAAATGGCCCAAGTCCTTGAGCCCCTGCACCCACATGGGAGACCCAGATGGAGTTCTAGACTCCAAGCCATTGTGTTCATTTGGTGAGTGAACTAGCGAATGGAAGAACTTTCTCTGTATCTATCTAATAAATAAATCTTTCTAATAAATAAATCTTTTCAAAAATTTAAATAAATTAATTAATGTGTCAAAATGTTAACAATTATATAATCAAGAGTGAATGAGGGGGGCCGGCACGGTGGCCCAGTGGGTTAAAGCCCTGGTCTGCAGCACCTGCATCCCATATGGGTGCCGGTTCGAGTCCTGGATGCTCTGCTTCCGATCCAGCTCTTTGTTATGGCCTGGGAAAGCAGTGGAAGGTGGCTCAAGTCCTTGGGCCCCTGCACCCATGTGGGAGACCTGGAAGAAGTTCCAGGCTGTTGGCTTTGGATCTGCACAGCTCTGGCTGTTATGGCCGTCTGGGGAGTGAACCAGCCAATGGAAGACCTCTCTCTCTTTCTCCCTCTGCCTCTCTGTAGCTCTGCCCGTCAAATAAATAAATAAATCTTAATTTTTTTTTTTATTTTTTTGACAGGCAGAGTGGACAGTGGGAGAGAGAGACAGAGAGAAAGGTCTTCCTTTGCCATTGGTTCACCCTTCAATGGCTGCCGCTGATCCGAAGGCAGGAGCCAGGTACTTCTCCTGGTCTCCCACGGGGTGCAGGGCCCAAGCACTTAGGCCATCCTCCACTGCACCCCCTGGCCACAGCAGAGAGCTGGCCTGGAAGAGGGGCAACCAGGACAGAATCCGACGCCCCGACCGGGACTAGAACCCGGTGTGCCGGCGCCGCGAGGCGGAGGATTAGCCTAGTGAGCCGTGGTGCCGGCCATAAATAAATAAATCTTAAAAAAAAAAAAAAAATGAGTAAATGAGGGGTCGGTGCTGTGGTGCAGCAAGTTACGCCTCCGCCTGGGATGCCAGCATTCCATATTTGAGCATTGGTTCAAATCCTAGCTACTCTGCTTCTGATCCAGCTCCCTGCTAATGTGCCTGGGATAGCAATGAATGATAACCTAAGCACTTGGGCTCCTGCCAAAAAAAAAACCATTCACACTGGAGACCTGGATGGAATTCCTGGCTCCTGATTTTAGCCTGGCCCAAACCTGTTTCAGGCATTTGGGGAATGAACCAGCAGATAGAAGATCTCTCTATCAGCTGTCTGTATCTCCCTGCCTTTCAAATACAATGTAAATAATTTTTTTAGAAAGAAAACTTGTCACATCTAAGTAAACACTTGCTCAGTTCCCAGAGGTTTCAAAAGCTGAGAAATGAAGCATTGGAAGAAGCAGCAACTTCTGATAGCACAGCCACTCTGAAGTGGAGCTTGATCAGACAAACTCTCACTGAGAAAAGGTAGTATTCCATAGGTTTCCAGGCTCTCCGGCCTCCTGTGTTTTCAATGAGTTTTGTTTTCAGAAAATGTGAGTAAACCCAGAAAACACTGTTATCATGACAGTTTCATCTATCTCAAAGTCCCTCATGAGTTTCATAATCCAGCTAAAATGTAAGAGGAGGCTAGTCCTTACAAATCAGCAGTCTGAGCTCTGCATGGAACACTTTAAATTCAATAAGATTAATGGATTGGTCATTTTCAGAATAAACCTCAACAGTTTATTCAAAACATATGTAACCCAAAAGCTGCTGGCCCTTAGCATCCAAGAGGCACAACTAGGGTTGCACTCACACCAATATCTGAATCTCAGTGGCCTAGCCCCCCATCTAGTCATAAAGAAGTAACAGTCTCTTAGGAAGGTTTCCCCCAAGGCTTCCCAGAGTTTTCCAGCAAGACTTACACATGAACTTGAATGAGCTCAGGTCTCCGCAAACTGCTGGCCTGTAGCCACACAAACCAGAGCCAAGAACGAACCCTCTACCAGGCCTGAGATCTGGGATTCCTGCCTGCTGTACAGTACCTGGTGACTTAGAAGCCCATCACAGTCACTGCACCGCCTCAGCCCGGCTGGATGCAGACCCCTCTCCCCAGCTGCTGAGCCCCTGGTGCCCACATCAGTGCTAATAGCCCCAAAGGAAGGAGGAGGAGGAAGACGTCTGTGCTCCCATGACTTCCCTCAGCAGGTTTGCTTCAGGCTCGGGGCTGTGCAGAGTTTTGTCAAGCAGGTCGTCTCATTTCCACAGCTGGCCCTTCCTCCCAGGGCACTCTCACGGCTGCTCTGCTCTGGTGCCCAGCCTCCCTATCAGCCTGTATTCCCCCCTTCAAGTGACTTCTCCCTCAAGGCACCAGATTGCCTTCCTGAAACCTGGCTTGGGTCAGAAACCCCCAAACCATCTGCTGGGATGGTCTATTACACACACACACACACAACATGTGGACATGGTTGAATCCTTCCTTCTCAGTGCCCAGGTGAGTCACCAGCTAAATCAAACTCTAGGGAGGTCAGCTACTGGAGTCCCACTCTGCTCCTGCCCACCTGAGACCTCAGAGGCAGATACACTATTATTTCTTGTGCAAGAAAGTGACTTTAAAGCGTAAACAGCACCCAAATAAATGTATAGATAAGTCCATTCAGCTTTCAATAGTTTCTGGGAGAGTGTGCTTTGCTTTGTGGGGTTTCTATCCACTACTTGCATGTTTCTGGGAACTTTTATCTGTGTTCTCCAGGAAGCAGACACATAGTCCTTGAGTGAAATGAGCTAAGCAAACAAGGACGAGTCACGTATGAGTCCACCTAGATGAGGTTCCTGGAGCAGTCAGGATCACACAGACAAGAAGGACAGGGGAGGTGGCCGGAAGCTGGGGGTAGGCAGAGGCAAGTTGTGTGTAGTGGCCATGGAGTTCCAGTTCTGCTTAATGGAGAAGGTTCTAGAGACAGATGGCAGCAGATGGAGCACAGCGCTGCGAGTGGATGGAAGCCACTGAACTGGACATCTGAGTGTGGCTAAAGCAGCTTGCTGTTCTGTGCATTTCACCACAAAAGAACAGAGAAAGGGGAGGGGAGGGGAGGGGAGGGGAGGGGAGGGGAGGGGAAGGGAAGGGAAGGGAAGGGAAGGGAAGGGAAGGGAAGGGAAGGGAAGGGAAGGGAAGGGAAGGGAAGGGAAGGGAAGGGAAGGGAAGGGCACAAACCTGTGGAATACCCTGGAAGAAAACAAAGCCATATAGAGGTTGTGAGGATGGGTCCAGGGGTCGGGCAGCCTCTGGCATCCAGAGCAAAGTGGCTTTCCTGGGAATACAAGGCAGCACTGTCCACAGACAAGGCCAGGTGGAACAGAGAGAAGACTGAAGGAAAGCAAGTCGGGTTGTTGCTGTTGTTTTGCATAGTGTACAGCAAGCATTTTCCCTCTCAGGAGCATAGCCTTTTAGTTTTCCAAACACTTCCCGAAGTGGTGGAACTTGCTGTCACAAGCCTGGGAGGTGAAGGGCAGGGGTCAGAGCCCAGGGTTACAGAGAGGGGAGCTGGCCCTACCGGAGGGATGCTCACAGCCTCCTCAGGGAACTGCCATGCCTGTGGCCCAGGAGGAGGAGAGCAGAGTTTCAGAGACAGGGAGTCCCCTCCCCAGAGCTCCCTGGATACCCTGCAGCAGCACCCAGCCTCCATGCCACATCCTCAGTGCCTGCGGCTCTGCCCTCAGCCAAGTAAAATTAAGACAGAATGAAACCGAAACCGCCCCTGGAAAACCTCCCCAGGCTGTGTCAAAGAATGAGAGGATCTCTACGGTGCCTTCAAACTCACCAGACAAAAGTCTGTAATTTGGGAGTCCTCCCACCCCCAGCCTGGCCCGCCCTGGCTAACTGGAAAGTAGGTAAAAACAGAATCTGGGGTGAGAAGTCATCTGACTCACCCATGATGTGGTGGAGAAGAATGTGTAAGCAAACACCCCGCACTCAGTTCAAGTGCGTATCTCATTCTGCCAGCCTTGGCCGCCAGCCCACCCATGCTGCTGCTGCTGCCCTCCTTGGGAGCCGTGGTCAGAGCCTTATTTTAGGAAGACGGCAGTGGCTTGAAACACGTGGCCATTACACATTACGCTTGAATTTGCAAGGACACACGCCGAAAACACAGGGAGCAACCTGGCTCCCTTACCGTGCCGGGGGTTAGGCATCCAAATGCGTGTTCTGGGCCCATCTGACCCAACACAGCCTTCACACTGTCCCTGTGTCCTGACCCGTTCCAGGAAGAGTCGCCTGCAAGAGAAAGCACGTGGCCTCCGAGGTGAAGCAGGGACAGGCTCCGAGGTGCCAAGGACGTAGCTGAGCAGGCAAATGCACACTGACAGACAGGTCTGTGTGCCTAGGGAAACCCGTTCTGCAGCTCCTAGGAACAGCTCCTCATGGAATTCACCCACAGGGGGGAGTGAGTTAATGACTGGGGAGGCTCACCTTCGGCCTGGATACGTCATCAAACCACCTCATAAAGCCCTGCACAGACCTTTACTCTCCCAGAATGTGGTTCTGTGGGGGCCAGGAGGCGGTGCAAAGGGCGAATACTCACAGAGGAGCTGGCTCTTGGTGGCCTGGGCCCCACAGCTGATCCTGGCTCTGGTCAAATCTGCTGACGAGCAGCCCAAATCTGCCCACGGCATCTGCTCCACATCTGGGACCTGTGACTCATCAGCCACTTTCTCCCCCAGGCCCTCCTTTCTCTGGCAGGCCTGAGCCTGCAGGCTTTACCAGGCTCAGGCCCCAGCACCCACCCAGACTTGTCCCTCCACTCAAGCACCCATCAGGGTTTGTCCTGATCTCTGACACAGCCTTCCCCCTCCCCAACAGACTCAGCCTAGTTCATAACTCTATGCTGAGACTGGCTCACACCCGCCTGAGCTGTGAGAAAAGGCTCCCCAGGCTGAGACAGACTCAAGGTCTCCTGGAAATCGCTGTCTGTCCTAGCCCTTTAAATCCCACAGACCAGACTCCCACCCTGCCCAGCTGGCCCACCAGTGTGAGCCGCAGGCAGCCCACTTTCTAGGCCAACCCTGTTTACCCTGGACCTACTATTTTTGCCCTTGCCTCCCTGGTTCTCAGATTCCTGTGTCCGTGTCCCAGCTGCCATAGCTACCTCTGGTCCCTTCACTTTGGTGACCCTTGGACTTCCCTTTTTAGATCGGAGCTTCTCACATGTTTCTGACTCAACTTGCTCCTGCAGCGCCGGCTCCCCTCCCCGTCTCAGGTGAGGCCTCAGTGACTCAGCCTCAGCTAGGATGGCTCTCGGGAGAGGCAAGTGGAAGGATTTGTTCCTGGGGTCCCTGCCTGGCATCTGACTCTCAGCCTGCATTTGTCCTTGGCTTCCTTGGTCATGCCCCTGATTGCTGGCCCCAACTGGGACCCTGATCCCTGAGGTCCTTCCCTCACCTGGGACGGCTCTTCAACTTCAGACTTCACACTGGTCTTCCCTGGTAACCAACCCCAAGCCCCCTCCCCTGACCATCTCATTGAGATCACAACAGGGGAGACTCTGAGGCTTCTGTGGGGACTGGGGACCAGAGAGGTGGGGGCAGCCAGAGCCTGCAGGTAGTTTCACAGCTGTCTGAAAACTTCTCCAACCACAGATGTAGACATAATATATGACAGCAAGCCCAGTGGGCAGCAGAAGTCCAGGCAATTGGCCAGGAGTAGCTGAGGGGCAGAAACACCCCTCTGGGTCCTGTGGTTCAGACTCTTTCCCTTGTCCTCCTGTCCCCATGCATGACTTCAGCCTCGTGGCTCTCATGGGTACGCTCCCTCCAGCCCCTCTACCAGTGAACAGAGGGAATCCACCCAACCTTCTCCACTGCCCGTGTCTTTGTGCCTCCCCTCCAGAAGGTGCAGAAACAGGAACCTGCTCCCACCGTCTCTCCCGCCTTCACCATCCCTTCCCCAGGTGTGTGGAGGGGGTAGGGGGAGGGACCTGAGGTTCAAAAGCCATCTGCCCATACATGCTTGGCAGGCTACCAGGGTACGTTTTCAAGCAGCCCTGCAGAGAGCAGCTCTGTGCAGGAAGCACACGCTAGGCTGGAATGGTGAGGGGCTACGAAGGAATTCCAACCATCAGGACTAGAGCGCACAAGCATTCTACGTAAATAAAGATGAATGCAGAGAGTCAGTGCATGCTGCAATGGCATTCAAGGGTGCCTTTCACCACGGCCACTCCAATCAATGCCTTCTAAGGACCCGGCCACTCGTTTTCTGAGCTCCAGGCCTGTTGACAAGCCTCTTCTGAAACAAATTGAAATTCCTATCATCGATTCACTTTGAAATGTCATAAAGCAGCTTAGGCCTTGGCTGGCTGAGCACTAAAGCAAGCCCTCTTGGCGGCTCAGATGAGCTGCCCCTGACAGCAGGACAGAGGACTAGGCATTAAACACTGGCAAGAATGGACCATTTGGAAGGTGCCTAGTAGCAGAAATGACAAGGCCAAAATCATAACTACTTTGAAAAAACTGAATCCGTTGAAAAATAACTACAACAGCAACCTCATCAAGAGCTATAAATGCCTAGAAGCACATTTGGCCTGACACACCCATAAAACCCCCTATGTCTTAGCAGGGAATTCTTTGTGTAGTTAACCCCAGTCATAATGACTGTCTGTACCACAGATATCACCTCGTGGGGAGAACCACAGACTACTGTCTCAGCGCATCTCAGCCCCGTGTAACCATTGCCCAGAAAACCTAGCAACACAGATTGTAGCTACCTCATCCCCCGGCCATGTGCTTTGACGATACCTCCACTGTGGTTTTTTAATGGACAGGCTGACGATGACACACTACAGAGATTTGGCTTTCCTCATCAGTTTTCCCAGTGAAGTCTCATAGGCTGTTTGGTCGGAGTTCAGGATGGTGCTTTTACCAGGACAGGCCTCCTGAGCAGGCTGCGTGCCCTCGAAGTTCCATTAGCAACTCCTTTCTGATGGTTCTCTTCACCCACAGACACTCAGATATCAGCTCTTTGGGGGAAAGAGGGATCTAAAGGATCCTCTTGCTTCAATGCCTTGGGAGCCCAGGAAATGAAAAATATAGACCCAATTAAAGAAGAAATCCAAGGGCTCTAGCCAGTGGAATCCCTCAACCACACTTGGGGCCTATGGGTATAGTATTCTGACTTTCAAATAACTAAATAAATAACTCTTCTTTAAAAATGACTTAGAGGACAGAATACTACAGTGGAAGCATGCCAAATGTGTTTCCTGTCACCAACCATTTCTGCTTGATTGGTGATAGCTCCCCAGTGTGTTGTATTCAAAGGGATTTTGAGGTTATATCTGGGCTCAGTGGGTACAAGAAGAGGATTTGGCACCATGTATGACATACCTGTTGTTGATTGAAAGCACTGAACTTGAAAGTCAGTTCTTGGGGAGAGGAACATTTATTCACTCTTGCTTCAATAACAAACAAAGAAAAACAACTCAGTTTCAGTGGATTATAAGCACAGACATATTTCTCACCACACAGAGGGTCAGACTGTTGTCTGAAGTGAGTCTTCCCCCTCCTTTTTTCTCATTCCAGGACCCAGACAGAAGGGTATGGGACATGCTATGCTGTGGCAGAGGGCAGAAACAAAAACAGCCAAGCCAAATTAGGCAATCACATTTAAAGTTCATGCTCCAACAAGGCATGTCATATCGTTCACATCTCATTGGCCAAAGCAAGCCATATGGCCAAGCCTAAGTCCATGGGAAAGAAGAGTCTAATCCTTTTACTGGGAAGGAGGGTGGGAATGACTGCAATTACAGATGGCTCCTGACACAACAGTGCTTGGACTTACGACTTTTTCACCTTTGCGATGATGAAAAAGCAATGCTTTCTTGAATTTCCAATTTTTACCTTTCCTGGGCTAGTAGGTATGATACTCTCTCATGATGCTGGGCAGCCACAGTGAGCAGCAGCTTCCAGGCAGCCAATACCCTACAGGTACAGTGTACTGAGTTGCCAGCATTTTTTGAATATTGTGCTTGGTGTCTTTACATTCCATTGATGTAACCATAATATCTACACACACACCACCTCTGCGCATGAGGTATTCAACACTTAAAAACAAGATTTGCATGGCTGGTGCTGTGGCTTAGCAGGTAAAGTTGCCACCTGCAGTGCCGACATCCCATATGGGTGCTGGTTCAAGTCCTGGCTACTCCACTTCCAATCCAGCTCTCTGCTATGGCTTGGGAAAGGAGTACAAGATGGCCCAAGTCCTTGGGCCCCTGCACCCATGTGGGAGACCTGGAAGAAGCTCCTGGCTCTTGGCTTCAGATCTGCCCAGGTCCAGCTATTGTGGCCATTTGGGGAGTGAACTAGTTGATGGAAGATCTCTCTCTCTCTTTCTCTTTCTCTCTCTCTCTCTCTCTCTCTCTCTCTCTTTCTCTGCTTCTCGGCCTCTGCCTCTCTGTACCTCTGCTTTTCAAATAAAAATAAAATAAATCTTTAAAAGGAAAAAAACGAGGCTTTTCCAGGGGCTGGCATCGTGGCACAATGGGTCAAGCAGCCGCTTGCAGCACTAGCATCCCATATCAATATAGCAGTGGCAGCCAGTTCTAGACCCAGTTACTCTGCTTCTGATTCAGCTCCCTGCTGATGCACCTGGGAAAGCAGTGGAGAATGGCCCAAGTGCTTGGGCCCCTGCCACCCATATGGGAGACTCATGCAGCCATTTGGGGAATGAAACAATAGATGAAAGCTCTCTCTATAGATCTATCTATCTTGGTCTCTCCCTCTCTGTGTATCTATCTTCTCTCTCTCTCTCTTTCTCTCTCTCTCTCCCTCTGTGTGTGTGTGTGTGTGTGTGTGTAATTCTGCCTTTCAAATAAATAAACAAATCTTTTTAAAAATAGGTTTTGTGTTAGGTAACTTTGCCCTACTATAGGCTACTATAACTATTCTGAGCACACTTATGGTAGAGTAGGCTAACGAAGATGTTCAGTAGACTAAGTATATTAAATGCACTTTCAACTTACAGTATTCACAACTCAATGATGAGTTGGTCAGGACGTAACCCCATTATAAGTCAAGGAGCATCTATGATGCAATCAGTGAGACAATGTATGAAAAAGATACCTTCCATTTTAAGAGCCATTTTTTCCTTATTTTCCTACAATGCACATGTACTCTTACACATGCATTAAAAAAGGAAAAGTTGTAAATGCTAGTGTGTCTTTTAGAAATTCCTGAGGAGGGAAGAAGTTGACATCTGGGAAGAGGAGTTCATCTATGCTGTTAGAAGTCAGGGTAGAGGAAGAATGCACAGTTAGACCCCTTCAGAGAACATGTGAACATGTGAGTTTAAATGGGAGATGATAAGGGAACCAAGTAGATGACAAGTAGACCACAATGGAAGCCACAGAAAAGCAGCAGCAGCAAGTTAGTGAGTAAGTAGGGTGGTGCCCAGGATGTGTCACTTGGATGAGTAAATCAGCTGATGGCCTGTAAGGCTCAAGGTCTCTGAGAAAGGACTCAATGAGTAATAAATTAATATTACAGGTGTCTAGAAGATAAGGTCTACAGAATACTAGTAAAGCTGATGGACAGGTATCCTCTAGAACAATACTTTCAACAGGAATCCCAGCACTGTTAAATCATTGAATAAATTAGAGTACCTACAGGGCAACAGGTACCATGCTAGGTGCTGTGGGTATGACAGTTACAACAAAACAGACATGGTTTACATGTTCTTGAAGTTGAATGACAGAAAGAGACAACAATCAAATCTTAAATGGATATTCAATTTTCTTTCCTTATTTTTATTTTATTTTATTTTTTTGACAGGCAGAGTTAGACAGTGAGAGAGAGATACAGAGAGAAAGGTCTTCCTTCTGTTGGTTCACCCCCCAGATGGCTGCTACGGTGGCGCACTGCGCCAATCCAAAGCCAGGAGCCAGGTGGTTCTTCCTGGTCTCCCATGCAGGTGCAGGACCCAAGGACTGGGCCATCCTCCACTGCCCTCCCGGGCCACAGCAGAGAGCTGGACTGTAAGAGGAGCAACTGGGACAGAACCAGCACCCCAACCAGGACTAGAACCCAGGGTACTGGAGCCGCAAGCGCAAGATTAGCCTAGTGAGCCGCGGTGCTGGCCCAATTTTCTTTCAATCCAATAAGACTCCTAGTACTCCCTTTCTTTTATTTTTTTTTTTTGTTAAGATTTCTTTATTTGTTTGAAAGAGTTACACAGAGGATAGGCAGAGAGAGAGAGAGAGAGAGAGAGAGAGAGAGAGAGAGAGAGAGAGAGAATCTTCCATCCGCTGGTTCAGTCCTCAATTGGCCAAAATGGCAGGAGCTGCGCTAATCTGAAGCCAGGAGTCAGGAGTATCTTCTGGGTCTCCCACATGGGTGCAGGGGCCCAAAGACTTGGGCC